TTTGATTTCCCAATCGTCAGCTCACTGTAGCATTTGATGTACTGATTGTTTCAATTTTTCATAAGTCTGCGCATTAATATTAGTGTCATAATTGACATATATCTTGATATCATCGGCATATGCGGCCACATTGATTCAAGGATCTCTTTTTAGTAAATGAGGAAGCTGCAACGTATAGACTTAAACAAGAGCAGGGAAAGGGAGCTACTTTGTGGCACACCCGAAGGACACATTTCACTGAATTTTTGGCCTTTGTAGATAGCTTCAAAAGTCCTACCAGAAAGACGGGATTTGAACCGTCCAAAAAGGCTGCCTTTGATACCTATGCTATTGAGCTTGTTGAGGAGTCCATAGTGATAAACGGAATTGACTTTGCGCTAGGATCAAAGTAAATGACTTCAGTGCATTTTTCATCACTAAGGGCGTCAATCCAATCTTTTTAACATTCTAACAATTGACCACATTGCTCTTCAAGGAGGATTTTTTGATACATCGTTTCAGCATTTTTTTGGCTATCATCTTGCATTTTGGCATCGAAAGAACCATAGCTTTCTTCCACATTTAGGGATATTTCCAGTTATTAGCGAGATATCTATATCTATATATATATATATATATATATATATATATAAGACTCAATGTCTGTGAGGATGTTCGTTTAGTTGTTCGTTCGTTATAGAAACGCCAGCCATTGAACAGATTGAGCGAAACTTCGCACACATATGTTTTGACCCCGGCGGTGGTTTATGGCTATTTTTTGCGGCGATCCGCAGGGTCCTTCTATTGATTTATTGATTTGTTTACTTGAATCTGGGAAAATGAAAGTTCGACGTTCTCTAACCAATCATTTTCCAATAAACATGAGCAGGGGTAGTAAAGTTCGTTGTGATCTCAAGGTCGACAGGATGCAGCGGGTTCGTCTCAAAGCGCTTTTTGCGCATTGCAGAAGTTAGAGAGTGTGAGTATGATCAGATTCTTGATTCGGTGGATTTGGATGTGGAGGCGGGCTGCGGACTTTACTGATTTTAAGGATAAGCTCAACGAGAAAGTACGAGATACAATGCTAAAACGTGGAGGTTTAACAAGTTTGTCTTGAAAATCAGAGAAGTGCGCAACCCTCCTCTACACGAATCTGCGAGCCGATGACATTCTGGTGGTTAGGGGAACGAACTCCGCCAGTTTAAGCCCGCCTTTGCTGGCAACTGGTCCTTTTGAAATATTGTTGTTTGTGGTTGCAGGACCAGTAGTCCGCGCAGATGTTTCAAACTGATGGACTTCGTTCCCCTGCCCCATTTTGGTTGAACAGAATGTCTCGGGTGAGACCGGGTCCATCAGCTAGTTGAATATGTAACTCAGAGGTCCCGCTTGATTTTCCGCAGCTTTTGAATAAAAAAGCTGGAATGCCTTCAGATGTAAGAGACATAAAAGGTTTGATTGCTTTGAGAACTTTGTATACTTCATTATAGGAGAAGCATGGAAGGTAAGATTTCTAGGTGGATGTAACATCAAACTGTGGTCTATGAGAAGAGGAGTTATTGTAGCATTCGAAAGGTAGCGGGATAGTGCATTAGCTTTATCTAAGGCGGAGGATAAAACTTGTTTGGTTTCATCCAGCATGTTGGCTCCAACTTTTTAGTCACGTGGGCTTATCAAACTGAATAATTTGCGCATGTTGTCTTATTTTACCAGTTTACGTTGTTTATAACTCAAGAAACGGCGCAGGTGAGGGTTGGTTTGACAAACCTTTCTGTATTGTGTTTTTTCATAAAAAATTGGGTTCGATGGAAAAGAGCCGTCTCTTTTCATTGCATAGGTTTTGTATGTGGATATTTGTGTGCTGAAGTGTGCTCCTTTTCATATGAGACGTGGACTTCTATAATACCATGTAAAGTGGTATTAAACTGCATGTAAATAATCTATGTCAGTGTACTTATCGAATAAATGAAGCTAATCAGTGGAAGGCAATTGTGAGTTTAAAGCAGAAAAATCTGCTGAAGAATAGTCACGTGCTTGAATGCCGTTTCGTGTTTTGGAATTTTTAGAATAAATTTGACTATCGAATGATCAGCAAAACTCAGAGGAGGTGGAATTTTATCAAAATCGATGTTATTTGATGAGCTGACAACAATATCTGATGTTGTCGCTAAAGCGACCTTGAAGTTGAAGTAAAATATGATTAGATCTATTGTATCTATTGTTTTGTTTGCATTTTATTGTTTGTCTTGGTAAACCCTTTTATGTAGGACATTCATCCCGCAATGGAAGAAGTCGGCCAGACAAATGAGTACAAGTCATTGCGAACTCCCATCAGTCTATTATTCCCTTGACTACACTACCTTACTTGGCCGAGCTCATTAACAACCAGTTGACAGTGATTGCATATGCAGTCAACAATGATCTAGAGGGTCTAAATACTGCTAAATACTGATGGGTGAGTAAGGTCAGGATCTTCTACAAGTTCTTCCTACAAGTTGGGGAGTATGAGGGGCACAAGTTTTCTCTGAGAAGCACTCGCGACACAAGTTCGGTAAGGCTTTACTCTCATTTGTGTGCCGAACCAACGCCTGTATTTTACATTAATGAAGTTTTTAGTTACCTCAAAGGTAGCACCCACAGTCCGATTAGAACCCGCGTGGCAACATAGACTTATCGAGTTTATATTTTCTACAAATGTTGAATTATAGCGTCTGGGGCAATCAACCACTTGATTCATCTCGAGTAACTTGAAAAGATCGAGATATTTACGCGCGGAAAGTGATATCGATTTTTATGGAAGCCAATCCAGATCACCTAGTCATCATCATCACCAATCATCATCATGTATGTTCGTATGCTCCGAATAGAAATTCCATTTTCGAACCGATCTGGACCAAACTTCGCACACATACACGTCGGGGGTGGCCGGTGTCCTAGGCTACTTTTCCTTGTCGATCGATGTCGATTTCTATCGATTTTTACTGATTGTTTGCATCGTTTGAGCTTAGCTGGGAAGTCGCTAGGGGAGAATTGGGAGGGAAGGAAGGGGGTAAGTGAGCATGTTGATTACCAATACAGTATTAGTTTCTGAAATTATCGAACCTTCATCGATTATGGAAAAATTTGAGCCACGGGGCTGGGAGCTGGCACAAGGGAGAACGTGAGCATGCTGCTTGCAAAAACATGATGGGGGCATAGGTACTGGCATGTGGAAGTGAACCGGGAAGGCTGTTGTACAGGAATAGGGATGGTGATCTTTATCATAGTGTACACAGAGCCGGAAATGAAGACGAGGAGCCAGCTAGTTATCGATAATCTCAAGAAAGACCGAACTGAAAGAGAATCTCAAACACTTTCGCACCTCACTTGGTTGAGCAAACATTTCGCATCCTGGTACGAATGTTTATGGGCTATCGTTACTAATCCATATTTATCGTGTTTACTTATCGTATTATGCAAAGGGACACGTTTTCGCATAATTCGCATAACCATCAAGTTTTGCTTCAACGAAAATATTTGTATCACTAGCTGTTCAAATCACATGTTAACCGAGATTACAAATATAAACTATGTCGTCTCGGGACAAGGTTCGATTCAAAAAATCTGCTCCAGTGCACAGCAGCAATCACTATCATTCATTTTTTCTCAACTTTCGTGACCTCAGGTGTGACTATACGGTAACTATAACTGCATGTATGTAAGCTATCTCTTGTCAAGTAATTCTCAGCTGGCACTTATCCAAAATCAAATCAAACAAACTAATTAGAATTTGAGCTTTTGTTCTTTGCCGTTTGATTTCGTCCGATGATATGCAGTCATGTGAGGCAATTCCTAGAATTACAGCGCTGCCTTTTTGTAAACATAGGATCATCGAAAATTCAGCTACTGCAGCTAGACTGTGTCCGCTTCCGTTAATCACTGTGGAGGACGAAATGACCGCGGATGTGTCCTTCATACACTTTTTATCATAAGGACATTTTTTGGCTAAAATACTGGCGCCTTTCTTTTTCGTGACTCGACCAGTTCTCGTGAACGCTTCAATCTCTATCTTTTTTGTAAACGTATACCAAATTTAGATAGATATTTATGCTTCTGTTTATCTTATTGTCTTCTACAAGCCCTCCAAGATCTAGATCCACCCATTCCAACAAATTTATGCTTCGCTGCTTTCATCTGCTTAAAAGTGCACATGTTGCTGCTAATGATGCGGAGAATACGCAGGTTCTCTAGATTTTTTCCTTCACATGTCTTCAACAATTCTCTGTTTGACCTGTAACAAGTTTTTTTTCGGAACAAGCGATGCAAATCTTTTGTTGCATAAGAAATAAAAGTGCGTACTTTGTTCAAGGTTTCTGTCAATCGTATCTGCATTTTACGAAACTATCAAATTTTGTATCATCTTTCCTTCTGAACTGTTATGCTACGTATACGTAGAAGGCAGTGGCCCGAGGGGTCGCGAATTTTTCTAAAATAGCCCACATGGCTTGTAAAATTGCGAGTGATTCGTTCCCACTTGCAAAAAATTTGTTTACTAAAGGTTTTGAAGTTTTAGATTAGCCTAGTAGAAGAATTTTTGAGGGGGGGGGGGGTGTTTAGGAATTGTATATCGCAAATCTCAGAGAACGTCCAAAAATTCTCCTAAAGGACCCGTTCACTCGAAATTTTTTGTCGCCTCTTCCTAAAGAAGATTACTCTGAACTCATTGGTAGAATGGAATATCGCATTTACCCTTACGATTTTTATTCCTGGCTCCCACTACATAGATATCAATCCGACTAGCCTTGTAGTCGAAAAAAAAATATCTGATGGAAAAAAGCATTTTTTGATGTACGCAGTCTCTTTCTTGACTAGACGGAATATTTTTTATTCATGCTGCTTTCTCATTATGCTGGGCAATTCTAAAGAAAGTAAAGTAATTTCTAAAGAGGAAGAACTTTTATCCCGTTTTTTTTTCAAACTGCAAATGCAAAGGGTGCTACCCTCAAAACACTTCATTACTTTCCAAAAACTTCTCTGAAAAAGGGAAAGCTCACGTTTTGCAAGTGATCAAGGAAGACCAAGTGATTCAGAGGTACTAAGCATTGGTACATGAGTCTTTTGCGCCATGGAAAATAATCGAACTTTAAGCATCTTTTGATCTTACGATTTCTCACGATTTGCTTCAGTCTATTTGTGTTGAAAATGTTTTTTTTTCAGTCTCACTCACATGTCTGGTTAACTTGAAACTACGAGCCTCACGTCAATGTCTGCTGAAAATATTATTTTAGTCTTTGCAGCTGTTTTGACATGCTCTCTAGGTATCTTATTCACTTTCTGCTTGTCATCTAAAGCAACATACATATAACTGCACTTCAGCCGATCGACCGTGCGCACAAAAAATCTTCGAACCCGAACAAAATATAGTGTGCGTTTGTAATGCAACCTACTGTGATGACATTGAGGTTGGTTTCAAAAAAATAAACGTCTTAACAATCTTTGAGAATCCGAGGCAATGGAGCCTTACAAGCTTGTGTCTATAGAACCATTCTTAAGGGCCGGGCATACTCCACGCGATTTCAATCGCGAGCGATTTGGCATTTCGCCAGAAGTCTTCATATGCAACTCTAGCAAACTGCACATGCATTGTGTATATAACTTACGTGGATTGATAAAATGCCCTATCTTCCGTACATTCAGGAACCTCTTACAGCGGGTATGGACATATGGAATACTGCCAAATCGCGTCGCGGCTGAAATTCGCGTAAATGCCCGGCACTTTAGAGAAAGAATTATGTAAAATTTTCGATTTCCTTCACATAATCTCTAATTAACTGATGAGACGAAAGATTGTACTGGCAAAACTTCTTGTGAACGCTCATCCATATAATTCAGCCTTTGTCTACTATTCCATCTGGAAAAGCTGTCATATATGTATCTTCCTTGGCTGGGAAACGCTTTGCCAAAGCGACAGTGCCGATTTCTGACCAGAAAATGAGCGGTAATTCTTATTAAAATCGCCGAAACTTTTGGAATTATGCAAATGTTCTAGCCGACATATCCATAAGTGTAGATGCTCGTCAAGAGTTCCAATCAATCATGGGTTTTGGTGGAGCATTCACGGATTCCGTGGGGATCAATATTGCATCGCTCAAAGAGACTACTCAGAGAAATCTTTTGAAAGCATATTTTGGAAGAAATGGTGAGGTTTGCGCTCTGACTTGTCCGAAATTCGGTTTGGGTTATTTATCGGGAAATTAGGAATTGGCTACAACATGGCCAGAGTTCCAATTGCAAGTACAGATTTTTCAACGAGGGAATATAGTTATGCGGATACGCCAGGAGATATGGAAATGAAGAGTTTTTCATTGGCTGATGAAGATTTCAAATACAAGGTAATTCTTCTATAAAATCTTTTTCTCTTTACCTTTATTGGGCTAAATCTGAATAAAAAACAAACAAATTAAAAGAAAGAGTAATTTTGGCATAAGATCTCGGAAAAGCGCTTGAGAGTGAGTTTTTCTAGATTTCACAAAAGTTCAGATTCCCTACATCTTGTCGGCTATGAATCTTACTGGTGGAAACATCAAACTGTTTGCATCGCCCTGGAGTGCTCCCGGTTGGATGAAAACTAATGGGCGGATGAAGGTGAGGTAGATTATTTCCTATTCCGAATTCTGCAAAAGATAGGGCTATTTATTATTTGTGCGGAATTTAGGGAGGTGGTACGTTGAAAGGCCTGGTCAATGGAGAATATTATCAATCATATGCTGTCTATCTTACCAAGTTCGTGAACAAAGCTTTTACATATTTTACTGCTATTCTAATAAAAATTTTAGGTTCTTTGAAGAATATGCAAAGAATGGCGTTCCATTTTGGGGCATGACGTTGCAAAATGAACCCTCATCTGGCTTGTTACCATTTTATGGATGGCAAACAATGCTTTTCACTGCAGACATGGAAAGGCCAGTGATTATCCGTATTGGCCTGATCCCTAACAATAAATATTCCAGAGATTTTGTCAAAGGTGTACTTGGCCCAATGTTCAAGAGCAATGATGCAACGAAGAACCTCAAGGTGATGGCGTTAGATGACAACCGACTATGGCTTCCTAGATGGGCTGACAAAGTGAGTTACAGAAATTGTGGCTGAGCAAAAACTGATCTTTAAGACTACGTCCAAAGTTGCTTGTGTCAACTTCGTGCCAGCGCCGTGCCAGAACACTGATCGATCTATACGGAGCGCGCACACGTAGGTTCCAGCACGGCGATGGCACGGTGCTGGCACGGAATGGTATTGTGCTGGCACGCCCGCTGGCCCAACAAATGCACGGGACAACTCTGAAAGCTGAATAAGCGTTTTCTCACTGCTATCATTCATTAGCTATTCGATTCCTACATTGCAAGCAACAAGCTATTCTCAGAGCAACTTGTATATGATGACATCCTCAACTATTATTCTCCAGATATTTGACGACCCTGATGCCACAAAATATGTCGATGGAATTGGTGTGCATTGGTATTTCAATGCTCTTGCGCCAGCTTCGCTACTTACTAGCACCTATAAGAAGCATCCTGATAAATTTTTGCTGGCAACAGAGGTACTTTATCTGGTTATAACCGCAATATCCCAGATAAGAGAGATTGGTTCAGGCTTGCACGGGATCTATGGGTGTTCATGGTCCTATATTAGGTGACTGGTATAGAGCTGAGGAGTATGCAGATGATATAATCACGGTGATAATCATCAAATTTCAGCGCCTTATTACCCTATTTTCCGGAGTATAAGGCGCATTTTTGTGCCCGCGCGCGAGCAGTTTCGCGACGACGAGGGCGATGTGCGACGCCGCAAAGGCAGCGTACTGACTTTTTGTAACAGTTTTGTGCATTCTTTTTCTGTTAAATCTCTTGTGGCCATGTGTTGTTCGAAAAATAGTCTGCTCTACCTTTACTTCACCACATTTCGCTAAGCAAAAATTTTACACTAAAACACCCGTATTGTTATTATTTGAAGCTCGTCCAATATTTGTCACTGAGTTTGTTTATGTCTACATCTAGTCAAATTTTCACTAAACTTTTCCGAAAGTGGAAAGCACTGATATCCTGACTCTGAAGCGCCTATTCAGCAATCTCCAGGTAAAGTATAGAGAAGTAGACCATTAAAGTACGGCTCAACCCAAGCCTAAACCTAATTCACAACTTCCGCATCAACGTTCGCGCGGCAGGTGCGCCTTATACATAGGTGAGCCTTGTACTCCGGAAAATAGGGTAATTGATTTTGGTGATATTATTTGTTACTCTATTACAGAATCTGAATAATTTCGTATCTGGTTGGGTTGATTGGAACATGTGTCTGAATGAACGAGGTGGTCCCACGTGGGTTAACAATTTTGTCGATTCGCCTATTATCGTCAATTCGACTGCAGATGAATTCTACAAACAGCCAATGTTCTATGCAATGGGTCATTTCAGGTCGTAAACTGAAAATTGCAGTGCTTTTTTGTCTAAATATCCTTTTTAAGCAAGTTTATCGCAGCTGATTCTGTTCGAATAACTACGAAAGTCATCGGAAAGCAAGAAATTATGGCAACTGCTGTCAATTACCAAGGTGAATCTCGCAAAACTTTAGTTTGTTTTTCGGTACTCCACTTTTATAGGACGAAGGACGCTGTTGCTACTGAATAAACACGACCGTTCGCAGGATGTATCGATCGCCGACTCTGCTACTGGACACTATATTCTTTTAAATATTGATCCCCATTCTATAGTATCTGTGATCTGGAACAAGCAATAACTAATAAACATTTCAGTTATATGGGTAATCATGTCACTTATTCACAATAAATTAATCAGAAGCAGGCAAAAATATAGACTTGGAAAAAAGATTTGTAATTGAATAGGAAGGGATCGTGCTTGCAAAAAAAAAAATTGTGTAGCTTCTAGCATATTGTAAACTATGTGGGGAAGAATATATTGGAGATAGAGGAAGACCGCTGTGTGTACGAATTAACGAACATTTTGGACGGAATGAGAAAATCGCGAGTGTCAAGTCCTCCGGGTGCACATCGTGTGAGCCACCACAACATAGAGTTTCAAATAACATTTGCTATACTTTCGAAAAAAAACCGATATTGCAGCACGGGAAACTATAGAGGCATGTTGGATCACGTCCAAATGTCCTAAACTGAAAAGAAAGGAAGAGAATGGGTATCAGTAGTGAGCTTGTCCCATTCTTATCATTGTGTGGATTTGAGTCTGACCTTAAAAGAGAACCTCATTCCATCACAAGAGTTAGAATATAGTGGCCTGACTAAGTGTCAGAGTGGTGGACAGCCACTTGTATTATATCGCTGAAGGTATGTCTGTCTTTGGAGGATCGAATTTATTGACTCACTTTTCAGATCTTGAGAAAGGCGACCCTGCCGAAGCGTCGACCTGTCTACTAACGTCGTTGTATTGATAAACGGATAACAATCTTGGAAACGCTTACTAACTTACTGCGAACTAATTATTGAACATAAAATGCCAAGATTCAAGGATGGTCGAGCATGGAATATCATGTAGCTTCTAATTTGGAGTTTCGTTTGAATCGAAAGTGATGGTCTCTTTATTGGAAGTAGGCCGATTTGCATAACGTAACGTTGTTGAGATATTTCTTCACAGGACCGCCCGTTAGTAGACATTTCTTGACAAACTTCTTCTGAGCACTACTCAAGATCTTATGTTTTCGCTCATTAGTACCTGTGCCCTTATTGATTGGTACTAGCTGGCAAATCCGGCTCCGTCCGTCAATAACATGTTTGTAATCAGCATGCTCACTTACCCCTCCCCCTGTACCAACTCCAACTCCCAGCCCATAGGTAGCACTTTGCAAAAAATCGATAAAATCGATGCCGATCAACAACGAAAAAAATCCTGGCATGGCACCCGCCCGCCGCGAAGTGTATGTGTGCCAAGTTTGGTCCGGATAGGTTCAGAAATAAAAATTCTATTCGCAGCATACGTACAGACACACAGATCCACATGCACACATACAGGCATGTATACATTCAGACAAACAGACATTCAGCTTTATTTATACAGATTTCATAAGGAACAGGTCTAGGGTTGTTAAAACCTGTGCATGGTGTCCGTTAGGCTTCTGAACAGAGAATATCTATGAAACACCTGAATGCATGAAAACACTATGCAGAGCTACACGTGTATGCACATGTTCGTCAACGTGTTAGTCAGAGTTCGTGGCTTCCAAAAATTCAATATCATGCTACCACCATAATTCCACATTATCTAAACTCATTGTTTTGAAAGTACTGATGGTAAAACTAAAAGTTCAGTGCACTTTGCTGAACCCAGATAAATAAGATGCACTTTAAAACTATCGCTATCAAACGATCTCATTATCAAAATAAACACATAATAGCTATAAGTCATTCGTTAACGGAATCTCATTTCTTTCGAATTTACTCGACTTCATTGAGAGTTCCTCTTTGTAGTCGACAAATGATTTCACAACTCCGGAGTTGAGTACTATTATTCTTCCGATTTGAGCTCATTGTTTCCAGAAATTTGTTTATTCAATCGCAGTAGTTTTGCTGTAGCCTTCGAAATCTTTAAAGGTCAATTCACAAAGGGATCTGTCATGCTTCGCCGAAAAAAGCTCAAAACCACAATTTAAAAAAGTCCAAAAGCCCACAAAAACCAAAAATCGCCCAAGAAAGCCTTAGAAGCTGTAAAAAAGCCCGAAAGCGCCCAAAAAAGCCCAAAGGCGCCAAAAGAGGTGGAATGGCTTTGGAACTCTTGCTAGAATTCTCTAGAATTCTGATATTATTTTGATGTGCAAACGACAAAAATTGAGCAAAAGATCGGTTGCGAAATCACACATTTGCCTTAGCGCCAAGCGCGCAAAGCGGGCGTTCCGGCTCTTTCTGGCGCTTTTATGCCTTTTTTGGGCTTTTTTGGGCGATTTTAGACTTTTCTGAGCTTTTGTTTAGCGCTTTTAGGCTTTTTGACGAAGTATGATGGCTCCCCAAGGTATTCGACGTTCGACGTAGAGTCTGGCTTTTGTGTAATTCAAAAACCATAGAGGCAATGATAATTTCCGACAAATTGGTCGCAAATTTTTTTAAAGGTCTACCTGAGTCATGAAAGAAGCAAAAAGTGCATCAGTCATACAGAATAATTCCATAGATTTTATAAAAACCTGAGCTTAGCGAATTTTTTTAGAAACAGTGACCCTTCCAAATTTTTAGGTAACCCAAGAAACATCCAAGAACTTTTCTTTTGGGGTTGCATCTTATTGTTAGTCGCAAGGAAAACATTTCAAGTCTTTAGACTGTCACATTTGCTCACTTATTTGATCTACATTGCAATCGATTAGTTGATTCTGCTAGAGCGTGTCACAAAGGATGGTTTAGTGGCAGTTTTTTTTCCAAAATCATATTCTGCGAGCCGAGCAATTAGTTCCTCATATGCTGAAATTTGCGAATATTGTTTATTTCTGAGGCAAGAGCATCTATGATTCTAAAAATAACGAATGAATTTGTCATCAGAAGTCCTCATGATCCAGATTCTCTTATAGGTTCCATCAAACAATTTAAGGTTCCTCTACCGCTTGCTACAATAAAAACCTACATAATGGTATTCCCCTGTCACTCAATGAAGCATAAAGGCATCTTTTGGACAATCACACTAATTTTTCTATTCCAGTTAGTACAAGGTAAGTTTGCTCAAATCTTTTTCAATTCTCAGTTCGACGTAAAATTATGTTCAACGCGCAGTTTACAAGAATCATATCGTGCCGCAATATGAATCACCCAGTAGTAGCGTCAGAACTGGTGAGAATGATTTACTTCTTCTTATACAATTTGCTTCAACCGGCTTGGCGGCTGGGAGGCGTGGCTTCGTGACCTAGTTAAGGCTAAGTAATGGTCAGGAAGCCCGCTCGCGAGAGAGATGCAGAATGCGTCGAGGGCGCGAGCGGCCTTAATTAGGTCACAAAGCCCCGCCTTCCAGCCGCCAAGCCAGTCGAATCAAAGATCAAGTACTGCATAAATTGTAAATAACTGTGATTCTCTCTGAGTTATTGCAAGACTGAATTTTTTCTTGAACAAATTCAAAATTATATTTTAAATGACAATTGAATGCAAATGCTCACAAAAAATATGGCAAATTTCAGCTGATCGTCCATGCGCTCAGAGAGTCTATGGCATTAATAAAAGCAACATTGTGTGCGTCTGCAATGCAACATATTGTGATAACATTCAGGTAGGTAATAACTGAATTCTTCAAAATTTTTGTTTGGACGTGGCAGAGCAAATATGCAAGCGAAGGTGCGACGCGGTTCTAGCTGTCTGCGTATCCTCCATGACACGTTCTTCCTGCGACTTAAAGGCAGCGTCCGGGCAAAAAGTCGATTTTGAGATTATGTGCTTACCCGGGCCTATTCGCTATGCTGAATCCGAAAATCACCACTAGAGAGCGCGAAAACGGCGAAAAAGGGGTCTAACGCAGGAGGAAACTCAGCAGGGGGCGGAGCGTCCGAGAGAGTGGATTCTCGCTCCCAGCTTCCGGAACAATCTTCTCGGTACCTTTAGTCGCCCTAACATCGCTATCGGCCAAGTACAAACGAGTGATTTGAGATCGGAACCGAGAAGATTGCTCCGGAAGCTGGAAGCGAGAATCCACCCTCTCGGACGCTCCGCCCCCTGCTGATTTTCCTCCTGCGTTAGACCCATTTTTCGCCGTTTTCGCGCTCTCTAATTGATTTTCGGATTCAGCATAGCGAATAGGCCCGGGTAAGCAAAATCTCAAAATGGACTTTTTGCCCGGACGCTGCCTTTAAAGGCGTGCAACACCGTCACTATCGTTTGATGCAGCTGGGCAATGTCTGTATTGATAAAATCAACGTTTACGGAAGGAGGGAGGGGGGAGGTGATGGGAAAAAATTCACTTTAGCATTTCTGACCGTAAAAAAATTGCGCGTTTTAAAATTGAACACTTTTTGTCAGCATTATCCTACTACATAGCCATGAAAATCTTTTTAGCCCTTAACTTCCATTCAAAATGGTACGGCTGTCGTTTACGTTTCATCTATGGCTGGCAAGCGTTTTGAACGCACAACAGTTCCACTCGGCACAATCGTTTATAGTGGTACATATGTAGCCGTATAGAAACGATAAAGATCAATCATCGTTGCTTTTCAGCCCCGGGAAATATCAAAATAGAAATTGATGCCCGTCAAAAATTCCAGTCAATAATTGGCTTTGGTGGCGCCTTTACTGACGCGGCCGGGATAAACATTGCTTCATTGGGAAAGCAGACTCAACGGACTTTACTGGAATCGTATTTTGGCGCAAATGTTAAGTATATACTATGTCTAACCCATTTCTCAGTTATTTTTTCTCTTTTAGGCATTGAATATAATCTAGGAAGAGTTCCAATAGCCAGTTGTGACTTTTCAACGAGAGAGTATAGCTACGCCGAAGTAGACGGAGATTTCAAAATGGATCATTTTGCATTGGCAAAGGAGGACTTTGAGTACAAGGTAAGTCTGTCTCAATCGTAGTGCCCATTCGATATACACATACGTTTTGCACTGCTTCGCACGACATTCTCGGGCTGTATCTTGCGCAGTCACATAATTTTAATGGTTGGTGTGGGCGTTGAGGCGCGAGGCGCCCGCGCTTCGGTTGCGTAGCAGCGCGCAGAAGGGGCACTGCGACTGATGAAGACTGTAGCAACGCCTTTTCTGCGCAGGCGTCCATAATCGTGGTTCACTCAACTCTTGCTTTATTCATACAGATACCTTATATACTCTCTGCGTTGAATCTCACAAATAGAAATCTTCGCTTATTTGCTTCTCCATGGAGTGCGCCAGGTTGGATGAAAAGGAATGGTCGAATGAAGGTATTAGCCTATACTGTATTGAATCTATAAAAATACTGATTACGGTAAGTTCAGGGAGGAGGACCTATGAAAGGAAATGTTAATGGACAGTATTATCAAGCATTTTCTAAATATTTTGTGAAGTGAGTTTGCCTTATCATCTCTACTAGTCGTATCAGAAACTAGTTTTCTCTATTTCTAGATTTTTTGAAGAATACTTGAAGAATGGAGTAAAATTCTGGGGTCTAACCATAGAAAATGAACCCATTGTTGGTGGTATACCGCATTTCCCATGGCAATCAATGTATTTTTCGGCTGAAATGCAGAGGTAGATCACTCACAATATTTCAGATGAAAAAATACGACATTTCAGGGATTACTTAAAAGGCAGCCTTGGCCCTACGCTAAAAGCAAACAAGGTTACGAAAGATTTAAAAATAATGATTTACGACGATAGTAGGACATTACTACCTAATTGGGTATACACGGTAAATTAGCACAAAATTTAGCGCAAAAAATGGGCATTCAAGTTTTTTAGGTCTACAATGATAAACAAGCGAGTAGCTATGCGGATGGAATGGGCGTACATTGGTATGTGCATGCTATACCACCCAGTGTTCTTTCTTCTATCTATCAGCGACATCCAGATAAATTTATATTAGCCACAGAGGTAAGGTGCATTGTGCAGTTTAATATTTTGGCGGTAACACAGTGTTCCTGCGGTGGCGACCACATTTGCGCTGGAGCATGTGCCCTGTAGCAAATGCCGGCAATAAGCTTGCAATTTGCGCGAAAAGTTGTACTCAAGGTGCACATTGTTACAATTTACGCGCAAATGTTGTCTAAAGCGCAAGAACACCATATCGTCAAATCTACTGAAATATGCTTACCTCTTTTCAGGCATGCACAGGAGCTCTTGTCCACCGTGGCCCAATCTTGGGCGACTGGCATCGTGCCGAAGAGTATGCTGAAGATATTATTGAGGTGATAAAGAGTCAGCGAGAGAAAATACTAGAACTCATTTCATGGCTTTAGGATCTCAACCACTACGTAGCGGGATGGACAGATTGGAATTTGTGTCTCGACGAAAAAGGAGGCCCGAACTGGGTGTCAAACTTTGTCGACTCTCCAGTAATAGTAAATGCGAAAGCTGACGAGTTCTATAAGCAGCCAATGTTCTATGCGATGGGACATTTTAGGTGGGTAATCTAGATTGAGCCCTGCATTGCACAAATGCATGATCCAGCAGTCTGCCATGAGCGGAAGGGCAAGCTGGTAAACTTTTTTATAATTATCGCCAATGGTCATATATTTTCTGAAAAGTTTTGTACAAGATAATTGTGCTTTGATCCAATTCTAGTATTTCTTTGCTTAAAGTAACCCTGGTAAATAGGATTTTGTTCTGGATGCATTGCAACTTTCTAAAGCAGTTTCCAAGCGTTAGTGTAGCCATACCTCACGCGATTTTAGTCACGACGCTTTTGGTAGTACCAAAGTTGTCCATAAGTTCGCGCACGCATTCTAAACGTGCAAAGAGTCGGACATTATCAATGTACGAAAGTTGTGCAGATTTGCGCTTACGGTTTGCCAGATTTGAATTTGAAGAAATCAGGCAAATTGCAGATCGCATGACGACTGAAATCGCTTGAAGTATGGCCAAGGCCTTAAGGTTACACTAAAAAGACAAACTAAATTAATTCTTTTAAGTGATACTTTAGTAAAATTGGGTAATAGTATGGAATGAACGCCATCGTCAGTAAATATTTACGCAGGCTGCTGTTCTTTTTGTCATCATTAAGTATATTCGTTATCAGTACCAAACATTTACATTGAAGACGGTTTAATCTGCTCAACCATAGCTTATTGCTTAGCAAAGTTTTCCAGCATATGAAACAAGATGATTTAGACTATGAAATATGCAAACGCTAGAATTAAAAAGTGATATCATTTTTCTGCAGAATCACAAAAACAATTGGGTAAAATTCCAGACACCGCGTAATTTAAGAGCTACAACACTGAAAACTTTTTTGAGATAAATTGATGGTTAATTTCTAAAGGATTTTTCTTCTTGAATATCATTTTTGTAAAACCATTACAACAAACGATACAACCTTTTCAGCAAATTCATAAAGGCGGATGCCTTGCGCGTAGCCACGAACGTTAAAGGAAGCTTAGATGTCCACGCTACTGCTACAGTACATCAAGGTAACTCTAGACCTTCCAAAGGGTTTGACTAAGTATCAGAACTTATTACTCAGGTCGCAGAACTCTGGTCATGATGAATAAGTGTGACTTGCGGCGTCCTGTCGCTATCGACGATCTGGAAATCGGACGGCAAATTGTCCTCAATGTGGAACCTCGATCAATCTTCACTATAATTTGGGATAAATAAGCGAGGCGATAATGTAAAATATTATGCTTTTTATTCTAGCTATATTGTATATACTAAAGATGTGCATTTTTGATGGTATAGTGTGCATAACTGTGATAAATTCGAAAGTAATTTCGCTGAATAAAATTCAGAAAGGCGAATTGTTTTTATTGTACAACGAAATAATCTGGATGTACAATCTATACGAAATGCAAATCAGAGCAAGAAAGACAAATTTATGGGACTTCGGTACGGTAAACTAGAATTGGGTTTGGGATGACCGAAGCACTCTCTTGGCGACCTGCTAACGTCCAACGTCACTGTTACGCTCCCTCCCTACTCCTCCCCCCCTCGCTTCCCCCCCCCCCCTTTCCCCTAACTAGTCCGGACTCTCCTTCATCTTCTCTCCTCCGATGTATCTCCAGAAAAAGCAGGAGTATCTTACTTAGCAAGTGGTGATCGGAGTGTTCTTCCAGTGTATCCGAGTGTTTGCAAATAAACAACAACTGTTATAGCACCTCGACATCAAAACAATGTAAGAATCCATTCAGTCCAGCTCCAGATAGCATGTTAGCAATTTGCTCTGGCCCAGCTCAATACCTACTGAATGGAATGTGGCTCATTTGAGCTCAGTGGAGCATTTTACAGATTTCATTTGATCTTTAATACTCTTTACTGCTTGAACGAGATAATACTTTTGAGACGTAAACTCTTGATCTCCTTTTGAAGTTTCCATGTCCCCTTCGTTTCTGTTCATTTTTGACACTCTTCATCGTTCAGAGAATGCGTTCTCTTCTCCTGCTCCTGGCCCTAGGGCTCTGCTACAGCTCCGTATCAGCAGTGATGCAAAACATCACTGCAAAAGGCATAGCCATGTGTCATAAGAAGCGAATGCCACTTGTTCATGTGGAACTCTATGAAAGAGACGTCTGTGAGTTTATTATATCTTAAATCAGTATTTTCTAACAATCAATATTAGTGGACCCAAATGATCTACTGGCCCAAACCTATACTGACGCTCAAGGAGAGTTCAAACTATATGGAGAAGAAGACGAAGTACGTAGTTAGACGAAATTCCCGCGATATGAGAAGTTATTTATGGATTTTTAGGTAGCCACAATCGAACCCTTTCTTCGCATTTCCCACGGTTGTATGGTATCGAAGCCGGTGAGCAACTGACAGCTGTGCATCAAGATTTTCATTTAAAAAAATATCATTTTTTCAGGGCTGCAAGCGAGTAGCTGATTATGAAATTCCCGCTCATAGAATTGGAAGCGTCTATGATATGACGTATATACCTCTTGATATCGCAGTGGCTGGTGAAAGTGAAACATGCTAGAGTTGTCCTTAGCACCTTAAATAGCAATGTTAGAAAGTTGTGATACCATCTTAAATGCTTGAAATTGAATGCCCCTTGTAAATTTTGTCAGATTCTGTAAATAAATGTCAATAAGTTGTGTTTCTTTACAAATTCCAGGAAACTGGGATCTGAAAATCCTTTTCAAAATTGGATGACTCTTTCCAATTTTACAATATGTTTTTAGGGGTTGGTTCGATTTAGACGACACTTTCAATTTATATAATATTTCTTGCGTGTCATGTGGGATAATACGTCAAATGCTATTGTGGAATTCATTTAGAGCAGAATCGAAAAATTGGATAAGGAACAGAAAATTAATTAATTGAAAGAACACAGCTTTTGGCATTTTTAGCTATCGACACAAAAAAGCTTGATTTATTTTAGTTTCCAGCTTCAATGTTGCGGTATCCAAATATCAACTTCAAAACGTTTTGTTTTCATAAATACGTCAGATAATCATTGACCTAGAAGAGATTAGAGACTGATAACAATTGTAATGCAGAATCTATTAGGTTGTCCCAAAAGTAAACCGTATTTCTAGGTGAATCCAACTGGTTTTGTTTTCCTGGTAGACGGGGTGTCATTCGATATAGCGAAGCAAGCTCTGCAAAATGAACCTAAAAGATCCGCCCATGTCGTAATCCAGGTAAAGTTTGGAGCAAAAATCGAAAAAATTTTATTACCTGAAAATCTGTTTTTAAGAAGAATAGTCGTACGGAACTCAAAATTGTTCATTATGACACATGGTTGTACTCAAATATGCCTTTATCGGATTTCTTCGAGTTTAGAAAGCGAGAAAAAAAGAGATAGTCTGAAAATGGCAAACTCCGCCCTCAGCCCCTTCCACATATGTCATTGTATACTATAAGCCTTACTAAGTATAATCTTGAAACTTTACCCCTGTATGTGCTCTAATAATCGAGAAATACCAAGTTTTACATGAAAAAACCGAAAAAAGTGGCATTTTTGAAATTTGGGACCATCTTTGTTTCTCAGTTTTGAGCTCCGAAAAAAATCAAACAAAACCATTTTTGTGTACTACTATGTTTTACTATATAAAAACCAAGTTGAAAGTCCGTAGGAATTTTCTGGAAGGAGATCAGGTTTTAGGGTAGCTGAAAAATTTTGATTTCTGGACCCAAATTTTAACTGCATTGCGACTTAGACGATTATTTGGTGGTCATTTTGTAGAGCTTGCTTCACTCTATCGAATGGGTAGTACCCCAAGTCTTCCAGAAAAATAAATACATTTTGATTTATTTAGAAATGCGGTTTACTTCTGGGACAACCTAATATTTTGCAACGAATTGGGTGGAGAAGACATTTTGCAGTTCAACTTCGATTCCATTGACTCTAGTAAAATTTTTCCTGTTGTTTGCTTAGAAAATAGCTGATTCTCTCTAATTCAACTTCAAGTACTGTCAACGCGAATAAAAAATTCTCAGAATTTTGGCTTGAACTAACTCAAAGGTATGTGTGAACAAGACTACTGTTTCGCCGTAAGTGTAAGAAAAAACTCACCGAACCTAGACTCCGCAGTTATGATATGGAAAGTTTTATGCTGATGAAAAATGTTTCGCGAGACTATAAACACCCTATCAAAATCTATATAAAGCAGAGACTGGTATTTCACAAGATTTTCACTTCACTTCATCCATTGGATCGGTTGGCGGACTAGGTACTCCTACTAATGGGAGATGAGTACGAGCCGCTGGCAGGAGTGGATGTTCCACCTCCACCTCCAGGAGCGGACTTCCCTCCACCGCCTCCACCTCCTCCTCCACCTCCACCTCCGCCTCCAGAAGATCTTCCACCTTTTCCACCTCCAGACGAAGAAATTCCCCCTCCTGCTCCAGGTCGAAAACCTGGAACACCGCGGAAGCATTTTGTACAGCGGAAAGAACGGGAAAAGAAGAACAGTCAAGATCGTTCGACACCGTCAGCAGATCGCAAATCACATGAGAAGCGAGATAGGTTGGAGCGATGTCTGATCAGCATCCTTACCTGATATTTGCATTTCAGAAGGCCGATACATGAAAAAAGTGAACCCCGTGAAAAAAGAAAATCAACTAAAAGAACGAAAAAATCTTCAACAAGCAGTAGCAAAGATCATGAGAGAGGAGAGGCCTATGTTCCTGCCCGAAAATCTTCGCGTTTATTTGTCGTGTGTATTTACGAACACTTTTCGTAGAAATAATTGTTTTATTTTTTTTCAGTCATGCACTTGCCTGAGTTGTATCTTCCTTTTGATAATTGTGGCTGGTGTCATAGCATTCCTGCTCTACGCTTTTGTCTTTGATGGATTTGCCGGAAAAGAAGAGAGCAACACAACGCTTCCTTCCGTCACAGACATCGCAGATACCGAAACGGTTACTGTAGAACCATATGCTGCCGAAACCTCCCCTGCTCCAATTATATCGTCCATAACATTCTCGACTATGAGTACAACAGCTGCTGAAAAGGAGCGACCAACTTCTACCTCGAGCTCAACAGTGAGGACATCCACAACTAAGGCAGAGGAGGATGAATGAGTCTCACAAGAATTGAAGAGTAACAACATTTTTTATCCTGAAAACACAATCTAAGATTCAAATGCCCTTAAAACACTTAATTTTATTTGAAAAAATCTAAGTGTAATGGTGATTGAATAAAACTTACAAAAATTGTTATATTGTGAGTCTTGTATTATACTACTGAAGAACAAGCATTCGAAGAAAAAGCTTGAAATGTAAAATGGTGGTTTTCTACTAAGCTGACTGAATGTATACAATTTATTTACGTCTTTGCAACTAGGCATCTTAAGAAATGCGCTATCGCAAGTCCAACGGCTTCATTTCGAGAATTTTTGCGAAGTCTCAGCGCCTGGTTCGTTCTTGTTAACAAGGGCATTAGACATTATTGATGTGGCAGAATAGAGTGTTTCGTAGAAAGAAAACGTGCCGAAGCAAGTTTCCAAAAATGGAGCTGCTTTTGAGTCAGTCAGAAGCTCTAGGAGAAACAGATAAAATCTCTGCTAGTCAAAGATGGCTTGCTGACTACAGGTGAATGGCATTTTTAGATTTACTGAAAAAAAAAAGAATTTGCAATTTTCAAGTCTGTGAGATAGTTTGCCAGGTGTTTGAACAATCTTTCATCAACATTAAAGTGGTGTAGAAGTGTGTAGATTGTGTTGGATTCGAGATGATTACCATTCAAGGTCAGCTAGCGTCCATTCTAATGGTGCTCATCTTTGATTAGCAAAGCAAAACAGTTAATCGTACAAGACCTCGGCTTTTAGCTCTTATTGGGCTTGTGGCTTCAAAGCTTCTGATGGTCTGAGAGAAAATGGGATGCACTGTATGATCGTAAAATGCGAATAGAGAATGGAGATGGAATGGAGATACTGTTGCTTCGTTAGAATGTGATAACTCGCATGTATCACTTAATAGATAAAGTGAAATTCTCGGTGTGAATCACTTTAATTGATCATAGCATCAGAAGGTGGCTGCATGAGCTCTAGGAGTGGGTCACTTCCTATCTGAGCCTTTTCTGCTAAAAATCAACCCGTTTTGCAGGTCATGGGTGATGAATACGAGCAATTAGGGCCGGTCGAGGCAGCTCCACCTCCTCCAGGAGGTGGTGAGATTCCACCACCTCCGCCACCGCCACCACCACCGCCGCCGCCTCCGCCACCTCCGCCACCGCCGCCGCCGAGATCGCATACGCCTGCGTCACATCCTGAGCCTGACAGAAAAAGAGATAGACGAAAGGAGGAGAAAGGAGGTAGACATGACAGAAGGGGAAGGTTTGTAATGCCAACAACGTATTTTCATTATTCAGAATGTCTTCTTTATAGTGAAAGTCACGGTAAAACATCTAGTAGCACAAAAAGAAGAGATGAAGAACTTTCTGGAGCAGAAATGGAGCCTCCTCCAAAGGCGGAGAGTCAGGGTTTTTGCACCAAGACAGTTATGATCTGCACTTGCTTTACTGTCGTCATCCTCATCGTAATAGTTGTTGCCATAATAGTTCTGCTGCACATTTCAAAAACAGTGGATTTTATTCCCGGTCTTGGTGAAGCAGCCAATAAGATCTTGTGAGAGTAGAATACCTGGTAATATTATCATTCACAACTGTCAGTTACAGTTAAACTATTAATCCAATTAAATTTTATTGTGCCTCTGTTTTGTATGGCACTTCTGTATGTTCAATAAAACTTCTTGAGAGTGTTGTAAAAAGATTCAGGAAGGTTTTAGGCAAACCATACCTTCTCCGATTTTAGTGCAGACAGAAAACGTAAATCGATGATGTCCGTGCGAGAAAATCTATCTGTTACAAAACACCCGCAGGCCGACTTCCCAGAACGGTGATTGGATGAGCGAAGAATGGGCGGGCATCACTGGGGGGGGGGGGCGGTGGCGATTTGGGCTCCTCAGGCCTCTTCGCTATTCCGAAGCGTTTTTCTCGCTTCCGAAGAGACATTTTGCGCTGCACTGGGGCATTGGCTTGATAGGGAATCTTACTATCGTAAGCTGCCAAAAGCTCAATTTAGGGTGGACTACCTCTCTGAACAGCTTATATACTGTTCGGTACCTTATCTGAAGACGGCATAGTGTTCATACCATGGTTGTATCGAAATGGAGTCAAGAGAATGCGATAGCTTTGGGCAAGCTATTTCGATTTGCTGTAAACCGCTCGCATCATATGAAAAAGGCAAAGGGGATAAGTGTGATGAACCGGTGTTAAAGTATATAAGTCCCAGTCAAATCAAACATTGGAAACAAGCGGCCTTAATTTACTATTACGGGCTATTTACAGCCGGGTATAGGCAGCTCCCGTGGTCCGGCCGAAAGTACAATACCGCTCACAGAATGTGCAATTTCCGTGAATGTCGCAGAATTCCGGGAACCGCGAAGCTTCGCGAAATACGGGAACTCACGCAAATTGAATAGCAGCCGAAGACTCTCTTTTAAAAGAGATAGAAGAGCTGATAAGATAAACTCTGGAACAATCAAGCTGTCCCAAGTTCCTCTAGCCGTAACTTCCTTCCGAATGAACACCTTCAAAATCCGAGAGCAGCATTGTGTACAGCTCGTCAAGGCAAATCTTTCGATATACAGCATGTCCTTGAAAATCCCTTTCCAATTTTTTCAAAATTTTCTGCGCGCGTATATTCGCAGGGTCGCAACGCAGCGCACATCAAACACAAAAGACTCCAATAAGCACTATTGGATTGTGCTGCTTCCGTAGATTACCTAGCGCTAAAAACGAACCGGAGAATCTTTTTCAAAAAAGATAGAAGAGCTGGTGAATTCTGGAAAAATCGTGTTTTTTCAAATTTTGCCCACTGTAGCCCTAAAATGGGAAGCTCTCTTGCTAAGCAGATGTGATTTTCGTAATCAGCAGGTCAGATTATTTGAGCGAAGTTTCCTTATAATCCAAGATCATCAACATTTTGACCAAAACTCATCGGCGAGCTTCAGGGCGGAGAACGAAATATCAAATCACCGAATTTCTTCTTGCTCATAGAGGTTATCCGACCTGCTGATTACGAAAATCACATCTGCTTAGCAAGAGAGCTTCCCATTTTAGGGCTACAGTGGGCAAAATTTAAGACGACACGATTTTCCAGAATTCACCAGCTCTTCTATCTTTTTTGAAAAAGATTCTCCGGTTCGTTTTTAGCGCTAGGTAATCTACGAAAGCATCACAATCCAATAGTGCTTATTGGAGTCTTTTATGTTTGATGTGCGCTGCGTTGCGACCTTGCGAATATACGCGCGCAGAAAATTTTGAAAAAATTGGAAACGGAATTTCAAGGACATGCTGTATATCGAAAAATTCGCCTTGACGAGCTGTACAAAATGCTGCTTTCGGATTTCGAAGCTGTTCATTTTGAAGGAAGTTATGGCTAGTGGAACTTGGGATAGCTTGATTGTTCCAGAGTTTATCAGCTCTTCTATCTCTTTTAAAAGAGTCTTCGGCTGCTGTTTAGCGCAGAATAATCTACTGGAAGAGTACTATCGAAGGGTCCGCAGTCTCTTCTGTGTGATGTTCGTTGCGTTACACCCACGCGAAAAGGCGTCATGCAAATTCAAGATTATTGAAAACAGACTATTGGAGACAACGTGTAAAGCAAAAGTTCGACTTGACGAACTGAATACAATGCTGTTTTCGGATTTTGAATACACTCATTTGGAAAGAAGTTATGGCCCTGCGTAATTTGCGTGATTTACATGAATTTCGCGAAATTCCGGGAGTGTCGCGAAATTCCCGGAATTTCGCGAACCTTCGCGGAATTCCCGGAATTCTGCGACATTCACGGAAAATTTGCACATTCTGTGAGCGATATTCTATTCTTTCACACAACTATAGCGGGCACGCAACGCAGAACGGTTGGTAATATGATTGGCGACCAGTATCAGCATTATCAGCATTGATAAAAGGTTTTCCTAACTAGCCGCTAAGCGCCAGCCTTGCAGACTGAACCCTAGCGGGCTTGTCCGCTGCAGTTTTGTAACCTCAAGTCATTCGTAACTTAATATGTGAGACTACACACTAACAAGGGAAGGAAGGTGGGTCGAAGTGGCCTTTCAAAATGAGGTGGGTATCATCTTGTAGGGCTTCGAACGCTGATTTCAAATCTGCCTTCCTTATCTGCGGCGCATTCTTGGGCGAGGAGTTATGAGGGTTTTTAGGGGGCGGAAGTCGATACAAGTACAATCAAGGACAGTGCAACGCTGTGTGTCGTCTGGTGTAGTGGTTAGTGTGATGGTCTTGCAGGCAGAGGCTCCTAGGTTCGAATCTCCTGATGTGGTTTTTCTTTTTTGGTCAATTTGTATAAGCTCGTGTATGTCTGTACATCACCTCTTCCTTCTTTTAACTGCAAATTTCTTCAAAAAAGTTTCGTTACTCTGTTTTCAAACGTCTATGTGCACTGATGAAAGGAGGGGACAAAATGTGCAAAACATAGGCATTTTCACAATGAGAGCAACGAATGAAGACTATTTCTGAACAATCCGAATTGTCACAGTCTCCTATCAAATTGGAAGGGAAGCAGTACTGTGCAGGCGTTTCAAGGATGTGCATCAAAGTAGCCGCTGGCGTACCAGGAATAAGCTGAACATTGCCGAATATGTTGAGAACATTGTGACCTCTTACGTTCACCGGGGTGTTACGTGACAAATTGATTCTTTTGACACTTCTACCTCCACTTCAAATCACTTGCAAAGACCTTCAGAGAGAACATTTTTGCCTCAAGATTCTAATAAAAGAAACAGGGGGTGGTGAAGCTGCCCATGTTCATACAAATTTTTTATAGACCAGCAAAACGAAGACCACAACAGGAGATTCGAACCTAGGAGCCTCTACCTGCAAGACCACCACACTAACTACTGCACCAGACGGCACAAAGCGGTGTTCTGTCCTTGGTTGTACTTATATCGACTTCCGCCCCCTAAAAACCCTCATAACTCCCCGCCCAAGAATGCGCCGCAGATAAGGAAGGCAGATTTGAAATCAGCGTTCGAAGCCCTATAAGATGATACCCACCTCATTCTGAAAGGCCACTTCGACCCACCTTCCTTCCCTCGTAAGCCCTATGTGCGACGGCACCCTTACTGGTATTTTCCAGTGAAAATTTTCTTAGCTTAACAAAATGCAGAAATTGTTCTATCGACTAACAGATTATCAACACAAAAGCGACAAGGAAACAAGCAGATATCACTGGAAATGAGCAGGTTCTAGTTTTGCTGTTCGTCAGTTAGCGTGTTTAATGTGCACTGCGCATATTAAGTCACGAATGACTGGACGATAAATGGTCGACATCTATTTTTAGCCATCGTGGAAATAACTCAAAAAATCGAACTTTATGGGAAAACAATGCTCAAGAGAGCTCGTGCCAGGTCATGAGTAAGAACAGAAAGTGTTAGAAAAGGATGTTAGACCGCAGCGAAACGAAACAGGGCAGAAAATAGAAATTTCTAGGAACTTCTTAGCTTTTTAAAACAGATTGAAGAACGTAAGAACGTTTACGCAATGACCTGATCGTTGCTCAGTGATACTTTACGCCATATGGACAGCACGTAAATAAAAGCTTGTTTGTTAATCTGCATGGGTAGAGGCAAATTAACAAAGTAATGAAATACGAGACAACGCGAATACAATGGAGTGGACACAATATTCGGGACATGAGCAATTTTCCGCTTATTTTATGTCACAGGTAAGCGTAATTGTCAATACAAGGTGTTGTATCTTCTTATTACGCTATTATAGCTCCTCGTAGATTTGTACCGACCGCAGTAATCCGTTCGTGACCTCACAATGACATTTCTCGTTGAACTGAGTGGAGACCTATCTATGTCTCTGCAAAGCTCCTATATTTTACCGACATCAGAAGTGCTGCAAGTTTAAACTGCCGAATCTCCGTCTTACTAGCTGGGAAGGAACCATTCCAAGTATGTTGGTAGCTTTATCGTGAGATGTCATCATTGTTGATCATCAGAAGTGAAACTGATAGATACGGTCGACTCATTTGCTAGTTAAGTTAGCAGCAGCTCAGTCGCCACCAAACGGTCCGCCAAGAAATAACTGTGTCAACAAGCATAGAGATTGCTTACAGGTAGCAATGGGTGACGAGTATGAACAGCTTGGACCACCGTTGGGAGAGATTCCACCACCTCCTCCTCCTCTGGATCAACCATTCCAGATACCTCCACCTCCTCCTTACCCGCCGCCGCCAGCACCACCGCCACCGCCACCACCACCGCCACCTCCACCACCACCACCACCCCCTCTGCCTCCACCACCTCCGCAACTGGGTTCAGCAGAAAAACCAGTTGCACTGTCGGCGGAAAAACAGAAATCTGCAGAACGGTCGGCAGAAAGAGTGGAGAAAGAAAAAGCCAGGTTTGGATTTAGATTTTACGTGAAATTTCACTTCTCTAGCTATCGAACGGTAACTTCCTAACGTCTACTCTTAGTTTCTGACTAAGCAGTAGGAGATGTTGTGATAAAATTAGGAGTTACAGAAAAAAGAAGAAAAAAAATGGGAAAAGACGTCGTGACGACGATGAAGAAAGTACAACCCGGCGATATGTGATGGTACGTTATCCGCGATCAAAAATATCAGCGAGGTTACTTTTTCAGTGCTGGATGATCAATATTTTTGTCTTCATAGTTTTGGTTGGTGCTGTTATTGGAGGAATAGTGGTTCTACACTTGGTAGACATAATCAATTGGTTTCCGTTTATAAAGAAGTGGTTCAAGAAATGAAGGGATGGAGAAAGAAGTTAGGATCTATCGTTCAACAGTGCACATGCTAATTTCATGTCTTTCTATCATGTAGTATTGCATCACCGTCACTGGTGTTTGCATAAATTGTTTGCACAAGAGCTAATAAACAATTGGATTCGTAGAGTTGAACATCTAACCTTTATTTTTAGGTGTCATTCAAAGGTCCCTTCATTTTCTCCATTTTGTCCGAAACCGTTCAAATAGGTTGCATCCTGTTGCAAAAGCTCTCCCGCAAGCAAACGCTTGAGATATACTTCCAGTTTTGAAAAGCGTAGGCAAAACTTGCGTTAAGATACTCCATTCCAACCTACTTATCTGTATTTACAAGACGGTAGTGAAGAAGCATTTATTCAACATCAGAAGGCCACGAGCACTGTGCCACCCTAAAGGCAGCGTCGCGGCAGATTTTGCATTTCATCTTTTTGCGTGTTTTGGGCCTTCTCGAACCGTAGATCTCGAATCTGAGCTTTAAAAGGGGTGAAAAGGCCTTTTTCGGGGCGTTTTTTTCAATTTCCAAAAGGCAGCTCGGACGAGAATTTCAAAGGAAAGTCGGGAGGCCCTGGCACGAAGACCCTGCCGCCTGTAATTTGGCTTTGTATAGCATGCACAATGCGGGGAAGCGGTTGGGGGTCCCGCGCCATCTACTCGCGGAGAATACTCGTCCGAACAAGGTGTTAGGGGAGCGAAAGGAGGAAGAAGAGCGGCGCTTGGGCCGCCCCCTGGCTTGCAGAGTTCACATTTTCGGCGCGGAGTTGCTCTTTTGGTTCACTTGGAGGGCCTCCTATTCATCTGTGTCAAAATCTGAGGTAGGTCAATCTGCCGCTGCCTTTAAAGGTAGGGCATACTTCACGCGATTTCAGTCGCGACGCGATTTGGCAACATCCCAACTGTCCATAACTCTTCCATAACTCGCACATTTCAAATGTACAGAAGATGGTATATTTTATCAATTCATGGCAGTTATACACACTATACATGTGCAGTTTGTTAGTGTTAGATCCGAAGACTTCTGGCGAATTGCCAAATCGCGTCGCGACTGAAATCGTGAAGTATGCCGGACCTTTATATTAACAGGTCCTTTTCATTCAGCGTTCATCCCGATTGCTACCGCTTTTTTGATTTGCAAGCGAATTCGCCGTGGTTTCACCGAATTCAAAGCAGGGGAAGCAGTCCAGCGAGGTTCCGATTGTTTTGGAAGGAAGGCTCAGAAGTCTACCCGACCGACGCCAGCAGATATCACGTTTTCTTCTAGCACCTATAACAATCTGTTCAAAGATGTTGACCTACGACGCTATTCTACACTTTTATATGCAAAATTGCGAAAGAAGAGTTTACAAAAGAATGAGTTTTTGACATATGTGAATAATGCATGAAGGTAAGTTGCAGCTTAGTTTCTATTGAAATAGATCCAGTGAAAAATCAAAATCATGGAGTTTATCCGCGTCCCGTGGTGTTGGAAATGCTCTTGCGACGATTACGCAGATCATTTGATTTCCGTTACCCAGCTGTTTCCGTAAATTGAATGTTCGAGTGCCTCCAAGACACTTTCTTGAAATAAAGCTTCAACTGCATCGAGGCAATCGAGAACACTTTCCCTATTATGGGGTAGTGAGTGCAAACTACCTTTCGCTAGACTCGATTGAACATGGATGATAACCACTGCGGTAAGATAGTAATGATATCAAGATTACCATAATTCGTGATATTAGCAGTATCCTGCAAGCAAAGACTGATGTGACTCATTCTCATTTGATGATTCACTTAGCATCGATCTGGCTAGCATATATCGCATACAAGCTTCTACAAATGCAGAGGTATCAATCTTGCTGACTTTCTGCGCCCTTGGACATTTGGCAAAGTGCCGGAAGCTTTTTGTGCGCACCACATTAGATGTACTAGACTGTCGCAATATTTGCCTGTGGCAAAAGGGATGTGCGCCGAGCAGGTAACTATGCTACAAATTTATCAAAAAGGCACTTTTCTTATTCGCACTTGAGGTATGAACAAGTCCCATCGCATTAAAGAAATTTTAGGAAACAGCCCAGCAGCCCTAGTAAGCATGCGAAGCGACTGCGCGAAATGTTCAAGATTTTTCAACGTGCCAAGGTATACATAATTCGGTTGACTCTGTCAAAAAAGATTGGTGCAGTCGCTAGATACAGGAGGAAACCGCATCTGCACCGGAGCAGAAACGTAACGCTACGACGGAATCGCAGCAAGGCGCGGCTCCAAGGTTGCGCAAGTCATCGCCAGAGGTTTCATCATCTATATCCACATCACGTTCAAGACACAAGAAGAAATCTGGTATCTTTTGATTAAGCACACTTAGGGGAATAATTTGTACATATCTCAGGGAGCGACACTAAAACAGCCGTGAGCTTGCGCCCTTCATACTGTATTAATCATTTGCTGATAATACGAGATTTATAGATCGAAACATCTGCTGCAGAAAAGTCCGCTTCTGATAGAAGACGAAACATACGAATAAAATACGGTAAGCGCATTTTAGACATAGGAATGTTTTGGGTTAAAAAATGTCTCCAACCAATGCGGCACAAGCACTTTTGTAGAGGGCCGGGCATACTTCACGCGATTTCGGTCGCGACGCGATTTGGCAATATTCCAACTGTGCACAACTCACGTAAGCAAATTTTAAATGACAGAAGACAGGGCGTTTTATCAATACACGTAAGCTATACACACCCTGCATGAGCAGATTGCTAGTGTTGGATCTGAAGACTTCTGGCGAAATGCCAAATCGCGTCGCGACTGAAATCGCATGAAGTATGCCCGGCCCTTAAGGCAGTTGATTGTTTGTCATTTCAGGAATACGGGAAGAGGATCAAGAGGTAAGTTGTACATGATGATCACCTTTTCAGGTTTCAGAATAACGACTTTAGAAAAAAACACAAGCTGAAGAGCAGGAGGAATTTGAGAACGTTTGCGCAGTAGTTCGCCCTGCAGCAACAAAAATGAGAAAGGCGAAGTTGAGGTAAGGATAGTTCATCCATATTTCTCGTTAAATTTATGTGAATTTCATCGGCCATAAAAAGCGTTACAGTAAGATTTTACGTGTTAGATCCTTGTGCCTTATTCCTCTGAGTCGTTAGTTCTCCAAAATCTTGACTAAAGAGGAAGAGGAAATAACAGGATAATATAAAACTGCATTCAAGTTATTGAGCCATTGAACCCTCTTCAACATTTCAGATGGAAAAAATTGGAAGGAGAGACACCACCACCAGCCTCTGACGCGGAGAAGTCATGCGCGGAAGGGTAAGTATATGAGTACGTATGGGTTACGGGAAAATCTATCAAATTCTGCAACCATATTTTTCACCCAAAAAATTGTAGCAGTGCAGAATTACTAGAAGATATGGGAGAGACTGAATCACAAGAGAAAAATCGTGTAAATGAAATCATGCGCAGGGTGAAAATCAACGTTAGCAGTCACTTTTGAGTATCGTATAGTTGTTTTTCCAGGCTGGTATTTTGACGAAGGAAGACGTGGAAAGAGTACGAGTAAGTTGCGGTTTTGCGCTGACACTTGAAAAAGGAACTGTCCACAATTCTTTTACATCCTAAAACTTCCCGTTGCAGGCAGCAGAAGCATCGATGACTGAAGTGCAAATACTTATAATTAGAATACAAGAGCTTGAATTAGCCAATCGCAAAGCTAAGTTACAACTAAAGCGACTGAAAAAACAGTTAAGAGAAAAGGAAAAGGTAAAAGATCACGATTGGCTGAAACCAGAGTAAAGACCAACAAAGACACTCAGAAAGTAGAGGAGCTAAGCTCTTTGGTCGCCTTCTTGCAGAAGCAAAATGCGGAACGAGAAGAGAGAGAAGAAAAAGTGGTAAAAGGTCTTTCATATCATTACTTGCAACTAAGAAAAAACTGATCAGGGTCATGCTGATGAAGCTGTTGCCATTCGTGGACTTGAAATAATAAAACGGAATCAACTACTCGAGCAAACAGTTCACAACGTTGAAAGGACTATGCTATGCAATTTTTTCGAAGCTGTTGAACCCAAGCCAAATCAAGCGGTACGCATTCTCACCGGAGATTAATTATTATTTGGCTACACAAAGCTTTCCAGATAGTATCCATTATTGACAAAGCGCTTACATATGCTGTTGATGTGTTACTAATGCGACCAGATTTATTTGACGATTTTGTGGACAACGAACTACGGCTATTTCTTCTTGACAATCAAAGGGCAAGCACATATATTTCTCTGAATTTGACGTGTACCACTCTTCTAGGCCAAACGTGTTCTTCTCGATGTCATGCTAGCACATCCGGAATATGTTCCTCAAGCATGGGGTGGGGATCATTTAATGATGCGTCAAAGGGAAGAACGTCTTAGAGCGGAGCAAGAAAAGGAAGAAAGAAAAGTCAAGCCGCATACCACTGCAGAAGACAGAGCTGTTGCAGAAGAAGAGAAACCAGCTCCTTTGCAAAAGATGGAGGTGAAAAAAGAAACAAAAGTTTTGCGAGGTGTTCAAGAAAGCCCACTCAACAAAGAAAAAGAAGCAGCGATGAAGAAGTCCAGTGCAAACGGAAAACTGAAGGGTAAAGCAAGTCTGGAACAAATGATCTTATCAATTTTAGATGAAAACTTGCAGGACTCGAAAACAGACGACATCCAACACCGTCAGCGCCCTCACCAGTGCAAAAGAAAGAAGCAGCACCACCTTTAAGGGCACCAGCTCGAACGGTTAAGAAATTTAGTTTCCAGTACGTAAATGTTATAAGCGATTATGTCTTAGAAGCAAGCACCGGATAAACGAAAAGTCGTTGTGATAGAAAAGCGGGGGAAATGATGTTGACAATCAAGTTCACAATTAGCAGCATTTTTATCGAAGAATAACGTATTTTCAATCACAAGTGTGCAGAATTGCTCAACTCACGTTGCCGTGCATTGTACATAATGATTATAAAGTTTTGAATTCTGACAGATTGCAGTGCACATGGTTTTTGATATGTGACGGAACGCCATCGGTATGAACATAATAAACTAGCGGGCAAACTCGGCTCCGCCCGACCCTGTCAATAACATTCAGATCATTCCAAATTTTATTTGCTATATTCAAACGAGAGCAACATCTGATGGATTAATGATTTCTAAGGGACGCATGCATTAAGGTCTCCACTGGGGAGGGGATCGCAGCTTAAAAAGAAAGCTTGCTTTACATCCTGAAGCTCCAGATATCTAGATTTCACACTGTCTACCTATCCGTGAGTGTTCCCACCATCCTTGAGTATTATCATATTGAACAGGAGCGAGAAGCTGAACAAGCTGCATTTTGCAGCTTTTTGTACGATCCCCTGATAATCCCCGGCGGTCGACCGTCTTTTCTTTAAAGTCACTCTTCCTTCTTCGAAGTTAACGAAAACCTCTCAAAGTTGTATGCACGTCTAACACAACAGTGCTAAACATCTTGATGATAAGGACAGATGAATTTTTGAAAAATCGAATTTTTCGATAAACCCCAACATTCAAGTTGTGGTTCATCGCATTTCATGATTCCAATATATCGTTTATTCTTATCAGCAACATGCTTAGCACTGTTGGGCTAGATGAAAAGTGCAACTTTTAAATATTCTCGCTTACATTGAAGAAAAAAATGACTTCGAAGAAAAGACGATCGGCCGCCGGGGATCGTCAGGGGATCATACGATGCTAGAAAATGCGGCTTTTACAGCTTCTCGCGCCTGTTCAATATGTTCATAGTGAAGGATGGTAGGAATACTTCAAATAGGTAGACAGTGTGAAGCCCAGAAGTTCGGACCTTCAGGATATGAAGCGAGCTTTTCTTTTTAAACTGCGATTCCCTCCCGGCGGGGATGTTAATGCAAGCGGCCCTACTCAGATAATCGCCGGGGCAGGCGGCCATGCGATTCATGGGCGGGCGGGCACCGGAAAAATAGTTCGCTGATTTATTGCGGTCCGCTTGCAGATTTGAAAGAATTTTAGCGAAATTTTGGACGAATGCTTGGAGAACAATCGCGGTTTCCTTATAGATTGGCTGCGGCGCAATGGCCGCAAATATGCAAATTTTCGGGGGCCGCACGGTCCTTTGTGGAGGACCGCGCAGCCCCCCGGTACTTTCCGCTTAGAGAAAGTACCTCAAACTTGAGTAATTAAACCATTGATGACACCTCTGCTACGTAGTCTCATCTTTGCTCGGCGTACGCCCGAAACTGCTTAAAAACCTTCCGACCGCCAGCTGAAAATTTGACCAGCGCTCGCTGAAAGAGATTATTTGACGAGCGCCTGCAGAAAATCCTGTGTTGCTGCCCGCTGGCAGAATATTAGACAGTAAAGGAAGTACCGCTCGCTGAAGGTTTGGCCACGCCCCAAGATTCTGCTGACCGCTTGCAGAAAAGCGCGAGTTTGCGGACCGCCTGCCCCCGGCGATTATCTGAGTAAGAGATCTTGACAGCGTTCGGTGCAGCATTTCGTCCTCTTTTTGATGGTTCAATCCTTTGCAGCATAGTCAATGTGTTCCCAGAAAATTAGCAAAATTTGCAACCCGTGCTTTTAGATGATCTTTTAATTTTCTTGTTTATCAACCCTCCTAAGGAGTCCAAGTAACAGCTGAATAGAGCAAACTCCACACAGGAAATAGTACAAACAGTAACTTTTTCTTCTTTCCATAGCTCTCCATGATTTTTTGAAAGACTTTTCTAAAAGCATTTCAACAGATTGATTTTAGCATTTTCTTCTACGCTATCCACATTCGATCAAGCATCAGTAATTCGAAATTTGAAACTTCCAAGATGATGTTACGACTTAACATTAATTTTACAAAGCAAATGAGAGTTTGTGGATTCGAAATATCATGTTCAGGGTTTTTCGGGTACAGCGATCGCGTTCGAAAACTTTGATTCTATGATTTTACCACCAAATATTCCACGAATCAGAAAAAATTTATTAGAAAGAGGAGAAAAATCGGCATCGAGTAGCACCCTAGCTGCTCGCCTTCTGATGTTTCCTGAGGTTTTAGTTGACTAAGTATGGAAATTGGTAGCATCTATTGAAATTCTATTCAAAAAATATGACGAGTTATGGAAAGGAAAGATTGTTTTGCGCCCTGTTGGGTTTGCTCTATACATATGTTACTTAGACCTTCTCAAATGATTGGTAGAAAAATTTGGAAAATAGCAGAATTTGACCATGGTAAAAACCATGGGTCTGTTCTTTGGTATTTTTCCGTGCTACTTTGCAAAAAAATTGATAAAATCGATATCGATCGAGATAACGAAAAACCCACGACACCTGCTTAGCCCCGTAGTGTATGTGTGCAAAGTTTGGTCCTAATCGGTTTAGAAATAAAAACTACTGTTTGGAACATACGTACAAACTGATATACATAGCGTACAGACAGACAAACAGACATTCAAAATTATATAGAAGGATAGGGATATGAACAAAGGTTACATTTTTAATGTTTTGTTGGCGATAAATTTAAGATTTACTTTGTTAACACCACAGTTGTTGGGCCTAAAGCTGCCTACTTTACGATTTTGTTGCTCGCTCACGCCTACGACCTCGATCGAATCTAAGGAGAGTTTCATGAACTTGAGAATCGTTAGTGATCAGAATCCCATTCGGTGATGGTGGGGCATTGAACCCTAAAATCGGACTGTAGCAACTTTACTTGCATTCTGTGGGTTTCTTGAAAACAAGGTAAACCTTCACACCATGAGATGTCAGACGAAAAGCCAAAATAAACACAAATAATCTCTTTATGGGATCTGTATACATTTCAACAAATATTATGTATGTACAATACGTGAACAAATAATGTGTCAATAACAAAGTGAATAACTTAGTGCATAGACATAATCCATACACGTATCTCATCACAAGGCACATAGAGCAAACCGCAAGATCATGGATGTCCATTGTAGATATAGCTCCTACTTTGTTGTTGGTGATTTTCACACGCTGAAGGTCCAGTCTCCTCTACCTATCCTCGCATTTCCAGAATGAACTGTAAATGAAACTAGCGAGCGAACGAACTCCTCTGGCAACTCACCTGTCTCAGGTCATCTATAGTAGATGTCAACTCTCTGATGGATTGGTTTTGCTGTCGAAGTTGTTCCCGTATCGCCACGATTTCAGGTTGATCCGTCTCATTGCTGCCGTCTTGGAGGGATATGGCTTGCATTCTCGGGAACCAATCCAAGTTACGGTCCTACAGTAAACTATCAGTAAAGAGGTAGAGTACTTACATAATTTACCTTAATGCACTGCGCTACGTAGCTCTCAGGTCCCGTAAACTCAGTCTCATCCTTTATTTGAAGCCAAACAATGAAATAGAGGTAGTGCCAAAGATTGTGCTCTTCGGCCTGATGGTCCTCGAAGGTCGTCGATCGATTGTCAAACCTTCAGATAATGTAATTTGCCTAGTCAACTAACGAAGTTACAATAGATTTGTCAAGGATAACCCACTTTCCGCGTTCTAATCCACAGATAAAGCAAGTATTTTTCAATATATCTTCCTTGTCATTCTTTTCAGTCCTCAGATCGCCAAAAGTGTCTATGATCACACCAAAAATGAGATTCAGTACGATAACGATCAATACAACGAAAAAGGATAGGTCGTATATGATCCGATAGTAGAACAAAGCCTCCTGAAATATGATACACGCTCGCTATGCTAGAAGGGTCCAAGCATTATTTTCGAGAAGAAGGTCGCAATCAGTCAATCCCGCATGTCATTTAGAGTTACAACGAATACTTGATACAAATTGAACTAAAATATGAACTATTGCATGTTGCTTCATACAGATACTTTCTCAATATATTATATTAGGTTGGCACATAGGTGATACACCTTTTTCTTATATCTTCTGTCTATTTAAACGGGGACAATCATTCTGAGGAATTAACCTTTCTGAGCTGCAAGTGCAGCAATTTCTGCCGAATTCCGTTCTGAATTACGATGGGGGAAAGAAAGACCATTTTCACAAATTTGAATAAATCCCGGTCTAGGTAGGAAAATATATGCAGTAAATTTTCACTCTGACAACAAGCGGAAGTTGATATTGCGTTCAGTCCATCAAATTACTCTTTGGTCAGTTCGCTTTTGAACGGTTCCATATTTGTTAGAAGAAACAAATAATAACAAATAACAAACAAACATCCTCAAGTTTGACCATACTTAGGAAAGGAGACTTTTTCGATTTTATGGCAAAAAACAACTTTGTGTAGATTTGTAGCACATTTCTTTAGGCCGCATGCACTAGCATCCCCGCTGGGGGGGGGGGAGAGCAGCTTAAAATTTTCAAATTATGAAGCTCCAAATATCGTCGACTCTAAAAATCGTGACGACGGTCTGCAGTGCGGCCAGTGCGCGCCGCACGGCACTGCCGCTTTATCGTAGGGCAATCTTGCTTCTCTGCAGTGTAGGTCCCTGCGGTAGCCATGAAAGTTCCTGCAAGCAAAAAAGATGCAAAAAGAAAAAGAAAAACCACAAGAACTCACCTTCTCCACGTAATTTGGGCGAATCACTAGGTGTCAGTGCCGTGCGGCGCGCACTGGCCGCACTGCAGACCGTCGTCACGATTTTTAGAGTCGACGATATATGGATCACGTTGTCTACCTATCCGTTAATTTTCCCGCCATCCTTCCTTATGAACATATTGAACGGGAGCAAGATGCTTCACAAGCCGCATTTTCCAGCTTTTTGTGCAATATCCCTATCCCTTTTCGTCTAATATCCCTCGCGGCCGAACGTCTTTTCTTCAAATTTATTTCTCTTTCTTCGAAGTTAACGGAAGCCTTCCAGAGTTGTACTGTTTGTCTAACCCAACACTAAGCATGTTGCTGATAAGAACAAATGAGTTCTTGGAATATCGATTTCTATAAACCCCAGCTTTCGACTTGTGCATCATCGCAGAGTTCATGATTTCGAAACATAATTTGTTGTTACCAGAAACATGATTAGCACTATTTGGTTAGACAAACACACAACTTCGGAACGTTTTCATCGACTTCGAAAAAGAAAATGCCTGTAAAGAAAAGATGCTCGGCAGCTGAGGATCATCAGAGGATCTACAAAAAGCTGAAAGATGCTGCTTGTACAGCTTCTTGCTCCCGTTCAATTCATGGCGAAGGATGGTGGGAATACTTGCAGAGAGGTAGACAGCGTGAGATCCACATATCTGGAGCTTTGGGACATGAAACTGTCTTTTAAGCTGCGCTTCCCTCCCCAGCTGGGATGTTAGTACATGCGGCCCCTAGCCTACATAACTCCAGAATCTGAGTGCACTCCATTCAAAAAGATAGAAGTTATGAATAAAATTGGAATTATGTGCCAACCTACAGTCGAGATTTCCATTTGATCATGTGTGCCATTGCACACTCCATGTCCACCTTTGGCGTTCCCATCCTGGGTTCTTGGAGGAGACAACCTTTCGGGTAAGTGTTTTCGAGGGTTCTTAACGTTTTCTTTCCTTTTAAGGTACTAATCTGATGAAAGCGATAACAATCGGTCAGGCTCTTGCGTTTTTGCGACTGCAAATTCAGGTTGAGGACTACAAAGACGGAGATGTGTGCAATGCATTCATGATCATATGACATGACTCGACTGCACCATAAAACGTATATTCTCGATTCTCAATCTAATGCTGCAGGGCAACATGCTGAACTATTAGTTGTATTTCTTCATCAGTTCTCATCCTTCGCTTGTTTCTCAGGGCACTCCAGAATCTGTAGCCGTTGACACCCCACTAGTTGCACAGTGGATGAATTCGAATCGGACTAGTGCAGGCCGGTTGCGGTAGAGCGCGGCACCCCCAATCTTTGAGTCAAACTTCAACTTGTTTCTTTTCTGTTTTTCTTTTTGTTGAACGCCACCTTGTGATTTAAAAAATGGGTCTGGTCGAAAAGACGATTTTAATGTTGTCAAGCAATGTTTCGTACTTCTATGCACTTTGTTTGTCTCTGAAGTTAAGTTGGAAATAAGATAGATAGCAATTTTTGTTTTTACATTCTTGTTGATAATTGACATGTGCTGAGCCGTTGCTTTCGTAAATTTTCTTCATCAACTACAATACCACCCACATAACTTGCAAAATTTCCGTGAATGTGCGAAATTCACGGAAATTTGCACATTCTGTGAGCGGTATTGTACCTGGCTGCTAAACTGATAAAACGGTAATTTTCTCATTTGCTGCTAGCAGATGAACATTAAAACTCGTGAACTCGTGAATTTTTTCATCCAAGCCTTCATGCCGAAGTGATCTATAAGCTTTTCCACAGTTATGACAATGCCATACAGTTATGACAGTGGAATGAGAAAATTCTCGGCAAATTCGGCGATGTCGGCGAATTCGGCAAAATTGGCGAAAAACGCAAATTCGCCGACTTCGCCGACATCGCCGAGAATTTTCGTATTTAAAAGTCATAACTGTTCGAATGCATGTATGAAGTAAATCTTATAATTTCCGTTTACATGGATTACTCGACGTGCTAATAACATTTCTTACATTGTTTTGCTGCTGGTGGCACATTGTAGGATAGAATATCTGCCAAATTACATGACTTTCGAATTTGAAAGACAATTCATGAGAAGGCAATTTTGTAACATCATAATCTGACGAACAATGCAGATAAAAATCTGTGCTAAGCATGATCCGATAAAGGTGTTCACAAAGTTTTGAAATCACAAAAATATGCAGACAGTTTCCGCAATAGGTAGGCAAAAAGTGCAGGCGAATTTGCGATTTTGATCGGTTGAGCCACTTTTATCTCACTTTAGCTTTACTGTAAGATTCTCTAGTGCAAAATAAATAAGATCTTCGTAAAGATTGGGAACAAAAACCGCTATGAGCGAAGTTTCCGGTCAATCCGAGAACCTCAGTATTTTGACCAAATCTTGCGCCGAGGCCAAGAGTGAGGAGCGAGAAAAAAACAAGTGCTACTAGTTCCTCAGAAGATTAAACTATAGATGTTATCCGACCTTTGATTACAAAAAACATATCTGATGCGAGATAGCTTCTTTCTGTAGGACTACGGTAGATAGATTTTGAAGAAATGTGGATTTTTTCGAAATTTGCTAGCTCCGCCCACTTTTGGCCCAGCCCACACCCAAGTCTCCGCCCATTTCTCCCCCACCTTCCCATTCCAACCATCCATGCCTGGGCCACTAACCCGCCACTAACCACCAATGAACCACTTCTGACCGATTTGTATATAGAGATCAAAGAACAAATTAAGAAAAACCTCCAGATGCCATAGGGTAGCGCCATTTCACATTCATGCTGCTGCCCACCTTTCTTCACCAACTGATAGCGAATCAAGGGTTGTACCGAATTATTACTACGCTAGTGCCTTGATTATTCTCCTGAAATTATTATTTTATTTTGATCTATCATAAAACTCCCCGAAAAATTTCCATTTCCGGGACCGTTCTTAGATCAGGTTCTTGTGTATACAACTTCCGATTTTTTTCTGGTTTAGCTCCTTCGAATATAAACACAAATACCGGTATCCGGGCACTTCTTCCCCATTTTTCAAAAAGATATGCATAAAAATAGACTTTTCCTACCTTATAAATCCCCGCTTACAGAAGAGCTCAAAGCCCGCTCTTATCGCAGCAAGAAAAAGATTACAAAGATACATATAAATGACCATCTAGCATTTGCTCATCTGCGCTAGTCGGAGTGATATGAGGTCAATCTCGCACTTCCGGCTGTCAATCACAATACCACCCACACAGTGGCGTACCCAGGATTTCGGCTCGGGGGGGGGCGCGACAAAAATTTTTTTCTAATGAAGGTGCGTGGCGTTAGCCACGCACTCCGAAAAAATTTTTGGGGCGCTTCTCAAAATTTTTGTGGGTCCCCAACCCCTAAAATCTATAAAAGGGGGCGTGGCGTCAGCCACGCCCCCTTTTATAGATTTTAGGGGTTGGGGACCCACAAAAATTTTGATTTAAAAATTATTTTAATTATTTACAAAAATAAACAAGTCGTTTGCACATTTTTATAACCCATATAGGTAACTTTCAAAAATTTCGCGACCCATTCTCGGGGGTGGGGCGCCCCCCCCCGCCCCCCCCCCCTCGGTACGCCACTGCACCCACATAAGTTGCAAAATTTCCGTGAATGTCGCGAAATTCCGAGAATTCCTCGAAATTCCCGAAATTTCGCAGAAGTTCGCGAAATTCCGGGAATTTCGCGGAATTTTCGGAATTTCGCGAAATTCACGGAAATTTGCACATTCTGTGAGCGGTATTGTACCTATTTATCGTTCCTCCGAGCTTACTTTGGAACAAAAGTAAAGAATCGAGAACACTAGTAGCATACAAAATCGCTCAAAAATAACGAAATTCTCGACTCTTGTCACGAACATTGTGATATAAGAAACAGCGGACAGCAACAAGATAAACAGAAAAAAGTTTTTTTGTCAGCTTGCATTTAGGGCTGAGTGTGCCGCGCGTTGCTTACGCCGGAATGAGAGTGGAATAAATTAGGTAAGAAACATTTCTCAACAACAGCAAAAGCGTCAACTCTACCAACGCAAATCGTAAACACACTTGAAGGGCATTTAAAAACAAGAAAAACAGGGAAGAACAAAAAATTAAAATTGAGGCCTGCCGCACTCTTCGGCGACTAGCCCACTCCAATTCGAATTCGGATTCATCTTCTGTGCGTCTAGTGGGGTGAGGACGACTATACTTCTACCACGACAGCGATGTTCAATGAGTTTTGATAATTGTATTGCTGTTCAACTCTGATGAAAAACTAAACGTGGCTGCCTTTATTCCGTAGCATGCAGCAATGTCGGTGTGTACATTAACAACGATTTTTGCTTTCCGAATCGAAAAGTTTTATTTACTCACCTCAGGACCGATACTCCTCAGCACATCACCGATACCTCCTCCATTTCTTAGCCCCCAGTTCAATGTGGTGATGATGCACATGCGCAATGTCTCACATGAAGGTATCTTTTCTTCTAAATGTTATGAGCAGAGTAGGAGATTTACATTTGCGACGTGTTCATACCCTCATCCTTCTTCTCTTCCTTAGCGACTGCTGGTTTCGGACATTCACCATCAGCTGCACATGTCTTTGCATTAGGGTCTCTTACAAAAAGTGAATGTGCTTGTTCCGGCTCAAGGCGATCTACTTCGCGAACGAAATCTGCAGAGCGAGTTTACAGTAAGTCGAAAATGACTTAGAAGAAGCTTACCTCTCTGGAAGAATGTGTAACCGACTATAGAAAAGACGTAAACGAGGATCAGTGCTAAAAGCCCAGTGAGGATGATTGATTGCCAATTTCTGGTAACGGAACTAATCACGTTCCGCAAGGTTTCCTCACTCGCAACAATGTCGAACAGCTAAGAATCATGATCTCACACTCCCACATGAATGAAGACATATTGCAGAGCTTACCAAAATGCAATAAAGCATGGGATGAATTAGGAGGCCTAAGCAACAAATGACTAGATAAAAAATATGATAATGTAGCTCGGCGTCCGACATTCGTATAGACCAAGGCTTGTCCTCCAATCCTTTATTGCTAATGTAGGCCACCAAATGTACGCACTTATTAGCAAGCTGAAAATTTAAGGTCTCTTTGAGCTTACATGAAAAGGAGAGGAGGAAAGGAGAAGAAACAAGTTGCTGACTTGTGCTAAGCCTATCAGATACAGAGCTGGCACGACGCCAAAAAGCGAAATAAGAGATATTGCCACACTGAACATCACAGCTGCTATAGCCGTGATTATATTTGAACTTTTCGCTAATGATGAGCTGAAATGCGTTGCACGATCTTGCTATCGAATTGGGCAAAAAATCAACTTCAAAACCCACTTTTCATCCCATTGTGAATACAGAAATATTATAGAAATTATCATCGATGTGTACATGAAAGGATTTGACGCATATAGACCCGCTAGAAAATACGCTGTAAGATTGCGATGAGAAAAACTCCTCAGACTTACTGTCAGCTTTTTCGAATGGATAATAGAGAGCAATAATGGTATTGACTAGGACGGCGAATAAGAAAGCTAAACGACCCCATAATCGCAATCGCTGGGTGCACGCAGATAGGTATGGTCGGTCTGCAACAAAGGCTCAAAACTGCAAATTTTAGATTTATTACTTCTCGAAGGACATTGATTATTACTTTTTGAAGGACAACCAAGACTCCAAAAAACCGCACTAGAAGCCTGGCCCCGACAAGCGTACCCTGAAAACGCAGCCGTAGCATACGCTAGGCACAATGCCTATGCTTGCAATGTCATGTTTACATGCACGCTGTGAGTTGACATTTTTGCGTAGCCACGAACGGAACACCCATATTGCTGTGTCTGTTTAAGACAGCGTTTCCAGCGTACGCCGCAGTCTCGCTCAACCCTTGATTGGCGACTGCGGCCTTCAGGCTCTTAATAATGATTTTCTTTTTACTTCTTTTTTGGCAGTTTCACAAGCGCGACCTTTGCCCACCTTGTAGTTTACGCTGCCATTTCATCTCCTCGTACAGTGCAGGCCACTGGTCAAAAAATTCGGTCACTTTTGAGCCCTGAAAACAACAAGTTAAGACTTTTGTGAAGAGTGCAATTGTTCCTTTAGAACGATCAAGCATTGATGGGCTAGGACCTTCGCACTGCTAGTACAGTAGTACGTTTTGGTATCAACATGTGCAGCATACCTGATTGTCTCGTTCCGTATTGTAATATACATTTTGTTTTGTTTCCTTGGTAAGGAATGAACAAACTTCATGAATTGGAAACACAACTCTCTCCAATGTACGATCTTTGCGCACTATCTAAAAAATAGATTTCATTAACATCTCAGCAACAACTTCAAAAGTGAGCACCTCGATCTGCGCAGTATGTGTTTTGTAGAACTCCAGAGCATTATTGGTTTTACTGGAATTCTTCCCATCTCCCTCTAAACAGCTTGCCAACTCTGGACTATGTCTTGCAAGCTGATAGGCGAGGATGTAGATGTTGTGTCCAACCTATCAACAACACTCGAAATTGGTGGAAATAGGAAGGGCAAGAAGAGAGCTATAAAAGGGTGCAGACCTCTTTCGGATCCACACTACAAGCTTCGTCGTACACGTACTTTATCGCACTTTTGGATTCATCATGTATGGAAACTGTACCAGAGGAATCGACAGATATTTCTGGCAGTGTTGCTGTAAATATTTCTTTAGGTTTTGCATACGATAAAAGCCTTGACAAATCACCTCCTTCCGTTTTTATTGATGGGCTTATGATACTTCTAGGTCGATCTTGTATATTCGAGCCTTGCAGAAGTTCCTTCTTCATGATGTTGATCTCATACTGTTTTGAGTGAGCCATCTCATAGGCTTGTGTTATAGCATGCACCTAGAAAACGGCTTCATGATTTTGATTCAACACTCGAAGTGGCGAACTGGGGGGGGGGGGGGGGCGAGGGGAGGCGAAAATGGTTCGCGTTTGAAAGTTACTTATATGAGTTATAAATATGTGCAATGACTCGTTCATATGTGCAAATGGAGATAATTTTTGAAATTTCCATAAAGTTCAAATAAGCCTTGTAAAAAAAATTTTCTGGATGGAGCGTGACTGTCGCTACGTCCCCTTTTCCTAAGATTTCGAGGTTGTAGGCCTGCAAAATTTTGGGGAGCATCCTAAAAGTTTCCGGAATAAGTGGCTGACGACAGTCAGCCACTTATTCCGGAAACTTTTAGGACACCCAGCTTTTATCGAAAAAAGATTCCCCCCTCCAACTCACCCCCGAACTGAAATATTGGATACGTCACTGATTTGCAGATATGACTTCTACATCTAGATAATTGTAAATGGCGTTTTAGAAATCCTTCGATGCATTTCGTGCAGTATTGCATCATGCACAAATGGTGGCTTACCAGTTGACGGGGACCTCCATCAGTATTATCCATATTTTGTAACACACGTTCTGCATTCTCGCTATCGTGTCGTGACTCCATTATGGCTAGAAGCAACTTTGAAGCCTGGCTCTGCAACGAAGAAAATTTATCGTAGCTTTCGATATTGAAAATCATAATACTTGTTGTTCCGCACCCGATAGTTCATGTAAAATCATCGTCAAGGCCCTCTCCGTCAGATCTGCTGCGCAGATTTTCAAGCCCACATTTATACAAAAATTTAGCGTGCGAGCTTTATTATTCGAGTGCTAACACTTCAGTTCATTCTCCTTCTCGACTATAACAGTAACTGACCGCAGGTTTTGCGAGTACGACTTTTGATAAATTTGAAAAGTCGCACGCAAAGACATTTGCGAAAGAAATAAAATTAGTGCGGGTTCAAAATCACTAAAAGGATAGTAGTTCTTCTCAAAAGTATATCCAAGATGACCTTAATCTCCAGTGCCAACTCCATGTGATCATCAGCAAGTGGTTTGATATCATTAAGCACTAATGAGATGATGATATTCAATCCATTTTCTTGCATCGCCATCGTATTCTATAATTATTGATTGAACGTTCGCAGAAGATGCAAAAATGGGTAGGGGACTATATGCCGCCGATAGGCTCCACCCCGCGCGGACAGCTGCTACACATCTGTGATATCTGCAATATGCATGGCTGCGTGGTCCGTCGCAGATGTCGGACCACCCTTTTCGACGACATGCAGTCCTCTACCCCTAGAAAAAATAACCTGATTCTCGTGGCATGGTCCCTGGCAGAATTCAGTGAGCGTTGCCAGCGTCTGGGTAATTAGACTGAAGTTATGTTCTCCAATTTCACCAAATACGCCTAGACTTCCTTTCGTAGAACCGCAAACCTGTAAGCATTACCATAAAATACTGAACTACTCATTCATACAACAATACATGTAAGGCTACTTACTGTATCAAGAAAACTAAGTGTTTCAGCTACTAAGTTGTGGTTGGCCCGATCGGACTGTCTTCTGATGAAGTTTTGGAGGAGGCTGTTGTGATTTTCGCACAGAAGTTGAAGCACCCGTAAGATTGGTTCAATTATGGAGACCTCAGACGGAAGAGCGTCATTTGTCCTGAACATAATTTATCATTGTCAGTTTTGAACTGCTTATTATATACCTTTCTTCTTCTTGGTACGGGGAGAGATCGGGAACACTTGCAGTCATTTCATGTGAATGGTTGGAAATTTCTGACAAGGATGGATGTCTCATGTGGTTCGCATCAAACAGATTAGGGAAAGGAAGATGTCCATGCTCCAGAACAGGTGTCAAGATCGTAGAAGCTAGAAGAGAACTTTCTAATTGAAGATAGGATACCCGCAAGACACAAAGCTGAGGAAAGCAATCACATCAGTCAAATCTGTAATCTGACCAAGAAGTTTCCTGCTTTTGCCAGCTGAAGCATATGCTTTTACCCAACAAATAAATTAAAATAGTGTACGTATCTGGACTTCGGTCAAAGATTTAATCTTATTTTGAGTTGACTAAGACGAAATGCTAGAGGCACGTCAGACCGTCTTATAAATTCATACTTTGTAGTGAGAAAATTATTGATGGTTTCGAATCAACGATAATGAATCCTCTAAAGCGAGGCAAAAGAAGAACATGAACACAGTTCTTTCATCCGTTCTGAAACTACTTAGCGGTAATACAGGGTTGGCCATAATTATAGCGACAAGATTTACTGCAATTAGCGTACTATTCTATCGCGCACATAGCGCGCCAGTTTTATCGATTTTTCAATCTCATCATTTTTTCCAACTCCTGTTAAAAATTGGTTAAATTTGGTCCATTTATAGTAAAATGGTGAAGCCTTCTCCTGATCGTACCGCTATCCTTCGTCTGCACGAAGCCGGCCGCCCACCTGCCACGATCGCTATGTAAGCACCTCGGCATCCACCGCAGCGTCGTGTATCGCACACTCCAACGTTATCGAGACCTTGGTGGACTCCAAGACCGCCGAAGAAGTGGAAGACCTCGTACTGCTCGCACGCCGAAGGTCGCCGAGGGGCCGTCCGAAGGTCGTCCCGGCCGTCATTCGTCGACCCCGGCGTCAAAATCGACAAAGATTACTACATGAAGACGATTTTGGAAGATGCTCTACTCCCGTGGGCGAATTCCCACTTCACACGCCGCCCGTGGACATTCCAGCAAAATTCGGCGCCCGCCCACAAGGCCAAGGTCGTCCAAGCGTGGTGCAAGAGCGAACTCCCCGACTTCATCCCGGCAGAAGAATGGCCGGCATCGTCACCGGATTTGAACCCACTGGACTACATCTTGTGGTCCTACTTTGAGAGCAAGGCCTGCGCCACTCCCCACCCCAATTTGGATTCTCTAAAGGCAGCGCTCATCCGAGAATGGGACGAAATCGACGAGGCACTCCTGCGTCCGGTCATCGACGCCTTTCCCAGGCGACTTTGCCCTGTCGTCCGTGCCAAAGGTGCCCGAATCGAGAAGTAACTTTTGATTGTTAATGTACCAGTTGTTACTTAATAAATGTTATGTTCATGACTCGTTTGCACTTTTCCTTTCTGAGATACAAGGTGAAAACCTTGTCGCTATATTTATGGCCAACCCTGTAAACTTTTACTTGTGATAGATTGAATTCTGAATAGTTGATGAAGAGGAGGCTCATTCAGTGACTCATTCCAACCACTCCCTCAGCTGACAAACCCAAGAACACCATACACTCCAAAGAAACATGCACACCCGAAAGACCATTAGCACAAACGAACGAAGGATTCTCAAACTTATGAGTGTCCTATAGAATTACAATCCATAGCACTTATCCACACATTTCAGCAGGTATAAATTATTTGGTGAAGCTTCACTGACGTATGTAAAGTTGCACACTGTGTCTGTGGAGCATTAGATTGCCATAGACTGGAGTTTGCGTCGATGCGCCAGAAAAACTGTGACGTGGTGTGCCTTCAAGAAAACGCAAACGATATGTACACGCTCCTTAGAGACTGATACATAATGATGTGCGATTTGCAGACAAAAAATTGGATTTGCAAACGGAGAACAGAGGGAAACAGCAGCATTGTGCAAGTGCCTTTGATTTTTGGAATGAAGAAGATAAATTCAATCACTCATAGAAGAATTTCTTTACTAATAGACAAAACTTGAACTCAACTCAACTGCCAGCGTTTGGACCAGGGTCAAGCAAGAGGTATGGCATACGATCGCTGGTTACGATCCCCCCCCCTCTTATTGCTGTCTCAATAGACTTCTGAACTATATACCTAAGATAGCATTATTTTAAGGCCCTGTCAAACATAGCGGGCAGCATATCCATAATTAGCATGTCAATTAACCCTTGTAGACAATGTTTGAGCGAATTCTGAAATTTCAAGATACTGGGTTACCTAAGTGAAATCACCATTTTTCAGCATGATTAACCTTGTTTCAAAGGCGAAGTAGTTAGCTATTTTTGCACTCAAGATAAAGCAATACTGGTTCTTCAGCCATTTCAGAAATCTTGCTTCAAAAGATCTTACAACTTTGGAATTAAAAGCCAACCAAAATCTTGTTTTTCCTATTTTTCGCTTTCTGGCTGTGCTCCAAATTTACTCAGAGCTAAGAAGACGAATCAGACTCAAATCACTTCTATGAAATCTACGAAGTTAGGCTATCGACTCATATAAATATCGTTTGCTAAAAATGTTTTTTTGATATAATTAATGGGGTGGTGCCACACCCCATTAACTATATCAAACACCCTAGCTGCGTCTTTCATATCGTTGTTACTGCTTAACCTTCTTCTTTACATAGCAGAAATTTCATTTGAAAACGTTTCTTCAAGAGCAAGATATAATCGTTTTTCCTTACCTATGCAAATGTAAAATACTGGTAAAATACTGCGAAAATATTGGGATACGGTAGCTAAGTCTGCGCTACTACGTGAATCGCAAGGGAAGGCGACAAGAATGTATATATTCGATAGCCTAAGTTTCGTGATCTTACATGTAAAGCTGAATGTCTGTTTGTATGTCTGTCTGTCTGTACGTATGTTTCGAATAGAAATTTTTATTTCTCAACCGATCCGGATCAAACTTTGCATACATACACTTCGAGGCCGGGCGGGCGTTATAAGCTACTTTTCGTTATTGATCGATATTGATTTTATCGATTTTTTTTACAAAATAGCTACGGGACTGGGAGTTGGCACAGAAGGGTAATCGACCATGCTGATTACAAATATATTATTGACAGGGCCTGGCGGAGCCGGGTTTGCCAACTAGTCTACATTAAAGTGATTTGAGCCTGATTGGTCTTCTCCCTGAAATATTGAAAACGAAAAATGGAACACGAGATTTTGGCTTGCTCTTAATTCCTTAAACTGGAGGTTATTTGAAGTGGATTCCTAATGTGAGCAGGTGTGGCATGCCACACCCCATGCTTGACCCTGATTTGGACCATTCCCAAGAAGCGGTTAAACTTTTCTGACTACAATTTTCATGTTAGAAGACAAGTTGCGATGTGAGGTTATAGTTTTAAGAATAGTAACTCTCACAATTATCGTCGATTCGTTGACCGCCCGGACTGCTCAAACACTGCGGAGCACGCGCGCGCGGCTGAATTGTCGCGAGAGCAGGACTTGTGCAATGGCGGATTTGTACTGGAGCAAGCGTTTTACCTTGCGGTGCGTGCATCGTAGTGATGTCCAGTCTGTGCGGTCAACAATCAACTAAACATGTGTTCGAAGATTAAGATTACTGAGAGTGAAATGACAAGGAAAGCACATGGTTTCTTTCAACTACCATCATTAACAGTTATGCTACGTATTCAAAATGACAGATTAGAAGAATGTAGAATTATCCTACTTTACAGGTGCTAAGACATTCCAAATCTACCCTAATTTCACGCTTACGCGGGGGATTTTTTCCAAATCGAACAGCACGGACACGCCGAAGGATTTCGCGACCAAAAAACTATTTACTGCGCTGCATATTGGCTGGAAGCATCGTGCGGCATAAGCCTCGTTTTCCGAAACACAACGAGGCGGCTGAGCGGTTCGCTTGCAAAACCGAAAAGGGTGCGTCTTATACGCGTGAGATTAGGGTACTCAGTCTGCACGTATGATGTTTCGTGAAACTTCTAAAGAAAATATCTCCGTTTGCTGACACTTGCTTGAGACAACACTTGGTCAAACACATGGAGGAAATCTACAAACATGCATAACCAAAAATACTACTCACATCGTCTACTGGCATTAGCGGAGTACACTGGAATTAATGTTTATGCAAGAGTGATTAACCGTAAGAAACGGAGTGGTGGGAATGGGTTAGATTTTGGGTTGAACTTACGATATGCTCCATAAAGCTTTCTGAGGTAAGCTAATCGGATGTTATTCTTAGCTCAAATGATCTTTACCTCCTTTTGGTTTGCTTTCACTACACGACATCATGTCGCTCTTCAGACGATTTTGTGCTGTTTGAATACGCTGAGACAAGGCTTTGAAGAAAGGTTCATGAGTGTCTTTTTTTCTCAAACGCTCATAGAATGATTGTTGAACCTGAAAACATCAATCTATAAAGAATAACTCAGATAGATTGGTTTTCTGAGTTGTGCACAAACCTTGTCGTTACCCTCGAGTAACAAGGCTTTAGCAAGCTGTATCGCCTTCAGGAAGATTTCACGACTTGGCTCGTTTGTGATGATGTCAATAATTAAGTCAGAGGCACCAGCATCGTTCAAACGGCATTGGATTTCGTATAACGATCGTTCATCTACTGGAGCTTCGTAATCCTTTTCTGCTTGAGTAGAAGCTGAAGAGTACGCGAAAGAATTGCGTGTTTTTAAATTTGACCTTGACTGCATCAATTTATTGTTTCGATCACTCACATTTGTTTCCATCGTCGCTAACTGATTGCTGTCTTTCAAGATATCCATGCGCACCAAAGTACCTTTGTAGAAGTTTTGATCGTAATTTCTGTCCCTTAAGTGACTCAATGACTGTGCTCGAATGCGCTGCTACAGAAAGCAACTAATATTGCGAAAGTTTGTGAAAACTAAGAGGATCATGCTCTAATGAAATCTGCTATTAGCTTTGCCGGACTAAAAGCGATAGGATAAAGAGTATCACATACCAATCGATGGCTGCGCATCGAAAATCGCCCTTTCTGCAAAATATTGTGCTAGCATAGTAAATGTTTTTATCACATTCCAAGAACTCGCATGTAACGACAGGTAGACGAAAGGGGGACATTTTTGTTCTTGGAATGGAATCACTGGTTAGATTTGCGACTTTACCGCGGCGTTGTCCCGGTTTGATATCATAGAGGCTTTTTCAGTTTCCAGTTTGCATTGAAACGTGAGCAAACTACATTCGTTTATAAAAGTTTCTGAGAAGTACTTCTATACTTACGACTACTCCGACACGAATGAGCTGCCACAAATGTCAGCAACCTTGTTTTTCTCTAGTTCTTTTTAACACATTGACGAGAATACGACCCACCGGTGGGTCATAAGATTCATGAAGCGCTATCTTTGCCAGTTTACGACGGAATTCTATGGGGTTCTAGCATATGATTGGGGGCACTTAGTTGAAGCTCCATCCAGAGTAGTCCGGGCTCGGGATACTGTAATGTAATGTTACGGTTGGTATACGGTAGATATATATAAGGCACAAGCTTTAGCTCAAATTCTTCGCAAAAACATGCTGTTTCTGGAGAACCAAGTTCACATGTAAGAGTAATACGGGGCGGGCAAGAGGCTGACGTTAACCCACCAAAAAAATTATTGATTTTATTGATTTTGTTGGTTTTTTGCAGTTTTCATCCTAGGAAGCTCGAACTTTGCATATATAGGTTTTGTAGCGTGCTGATTACGAAAATGATAGTCTCAAGTTTTGATACCACCTTCTAACATCAGCTTCTTTTCTACGAAAATTCTACCGTACTGCTACCGTAGTCTCACCGTGAGAATGTAGTGAAAGAAGTGGACACTATAATCGTAATCAGCACGTGAAATAACCCCAATACACGAATTTTCATGAAAATCCATGATGTTGGGTTCGTACAGAATGACTACCGTAACCCTACCGTATAACGCCAAAAACTGAAATGAATATTTTGGCAATCAGCGCGTTCGATATGTGGGGAAATTGTGGGGAAATTCTCAGAGACGTATTCTGAACTTCTTCCAAAAAGACTACCATTTCGGACAATACGACCCACGGGTGGGTCGTAAGTTTGGCAGAGCAAAAAGGGCTCCTGTCCGAAATGGCAGTAATCGAAAAATTGGCCTTGTCGTCAACGTGTTAATCAAAAGTCAATTGCCCTCGCAAAATATAAATCTCTCACGCAAATTTCTTGATCACTTTCCCTACTTTTCTAGTTACCGCTTATAAGCCATAGCCAGGAGTTGAGTGCTGTTCTGCATCTTCTTGATGCACCATCAACTCTTCTGTTACCATTTAGGCCTCATATCCCCGCTGGGTAGAAAAGCTGTGAAAGAACCTGCGTTACCTTCGATATATAGAGCCATGTACTCTGGTAACTTTCACTTTGAGCGACATTAGAGAACACATCCTTCGCCAGAAGAAAAACAGAAGTCATTCAGAGCGAAGCCCCGAATGAGTTGGACGTAAGTTCCAATGGACGTGAGTCCTCGTGGGTTCGAACCCCACTCGCGCTAAATGATTTTGCAAATAAGCTAACGAACAACCAATGTAACGAACAACCAATGTCAACGAATAATCGAGGTACATATCTGTCCTTTAAAATATCAAATGTGAATTAATGTTTGGAATGGATTCGATGCTTCAATAACTCATAACTGAAACTTATAGCGATTATCTACAAATTAGGTGACCTGATAAATGAGGTCACCTGATTTGTAGATAATCGCTATAAGTTTCAGTTATGAGTTATTGAAGCATCGAATCCATTCCAAACATTAATTCACATTTGATATTTTAAAGGACAGATATGTACCTCGATTATTCGTTGACATTGGTTGTTCGTTACATTGGTTGTTCGTTAGCTTATTTGCAAAATCATTTAGCGCGAGTGGGGTTCGAACCCACGAGGACTCACGTCCATTGGAACTTACGTCCAACTCATTCGGGGCTTCGCTCTGAATGACTTCTGTTTTTCTTCTGGCGAAGGATGTGTTCTCTAATGTCGCTCAAAGTGAAAGTTACCAGAGTACATGGCTCTATATATCGAAGGTAACGCAGGTTCTTTCACAGCTTTTCTACCCAGCGGGGATATGAGGCCTAAATGGTAACAGAAGAGTTGATGGTGCATCAAGAAGATGCAGAACAGCACTCAACTCCTGGCTATGGCTTATAAGCGGTAACTAGAAAAGTAGGGAAAGTGATCAAGAAATTTGCGTGAGAGATTTATATTTTGCGAGGGCAATTGACTTTTGATTAACACGTTGACGACAAGGCCAATTTTTCGATTACTGCCATTTCGGACAGGAGCCCTTTTTGCTCTGCCAAACTTACGACCCACCCGTGGGTCGTATTGTCCGAAATGGTAGTCTTTTTGGAAGAAGTTCAGAATACGTCTCTGAGAATTTCCCCACAATTTCCCCACATATCGAACGCGCTGATTGCCAAAATATTCATTTCAGTTTTTGGCGTTATACGGTAGGGTTACGGTAGTCATTCTGTACGAACCCAACATCATGGATTTTCATGAAAATTCGTGTATTGGGGTTATTTCACGTGCTGATTACGATTATAGTGTCCACTTCTTTCACTACATTCTCACGGTGAGACTACGGTAGCAGTACGGTAGAATTTTCGTAGAAAAGAAGCTGATGTTAGAAGGTGGTATCAAAACTTGAGACTATCATTTTCGTAATCAGCACGCTACAAAACCTATATATGCAAAGTTCGAGCTTCCTAGGATGAAAACTGCAAAAAACCAACAAAATCAATAAAATCAATAATTTTTTTGGTGGGTTAACGTCAGCCTCTTGCCCGCCCCGTATTACTCTTACATGTGAACTTGGTTCTCCAGAAACAGCATGTTTTTGCGAAGAATTTGAGCTAAAGCTTGTGCCTTATATATATCTACCGTATACCAACCGTAACATTACATTACAGTATCCCGAGCCCGGACTACTCTGGATGGAGCTTCAACTAAGTGCCCCCAATCATATGCTAGAACCCCATAGAATTCCGTCGTAAACTGGCAAAGATAGCGCTTCATGAATCTTATGACCCACCGGTGGGTCATAAGATTCATGAAGCGCTATCTTTGCCAGTTTACGACGGAATTCTATGGGGTTCTAGCATATGATTGGGGGCACTTAGTTGAAGCTCCATCCAGAGTAGTCCGGGCTCGGGATACTGTAATGTAATGTTACGGTTGGTATACGGTAGATATATATAAGGCACAAGCTTTAGCTCAAATTCTTCGCAAAAACATGCTGTTTCTGGAGAACCAAGTTCACATGTAAGAGTAATACGGGGCGGGCAAGAGGCTGACGTTAACCCACCAAAAAAATTATTGATTTTATTGATTTTGTTGGTTTTTTGCAGTTTTCATCCTAGGAAGCTCGAACTTTGCATATATAGGTTTTGTAGCGTGCTGATTACGAAAATGATAGTCTCAAGTTTTGATACCACCTTCTAACATCAGCTTCTTTTCTACGAAAATTCTACCGTACTGCTACCGTAGTCTCACCGTGAGAATGTAGTGAAAGAAGTGGACACTATAATCGTAATCAGCACGTGAAATAACCCCAATACACGAATTTTCATGAAAATCCATGATGTTGGGTTCGTACAGAATGACTACCGTAACCCTACCGTATAACGCCAAAAACTGAAATGAATATTTTGGCAATCAGCGCGTTCGATATGTGGGGAAATTGTGGGGAAATTCTCAGAGACGTATTCTGAACTTCTTCCAAAAAGACTACCATTTCGGACAATACGACCCAC